ACGCAAAAAACCGACTTTTTTCACCCCCTCCCCCTTGTTACAACATGTTACAACTCGCAACCCCCCCCCCCCTCTGAACGTTCATAATTCAAAAATTTTCCGTGACCTTTTTTTAAAAGACAGACGACAGTTAGAACGTTAAATTCTTCTTGGCAACCCCCCCCCCCCTCCCCCTATGTTACATTTTGTTACAATTTTTCAAACCCCCCCTCCCCCCTAAAATGCGAACGTAATAAGTGAACGGCCCCTTTACAATTCATGGATATCGAATGTCGTTTCAGAGATTTTTGTTCATTGTATGCTCTTTTGTTGCATTTTTGAGTTCAGACAATTTAAAAGCTGTTGATTGTTATTCAGCTTATCTTAATTGTTGTTTGATACATCTATAAAGCATCATATTTAGTTTCATTGATGCTGTTGTAATTGATATTAAAGTGAAGATAGTCAAGACAATAACAATTTTACACCCATTCTGTGGAATTTCCAGAGAGATGAAATCACTTGAATTAAATGAAAATGCTATACAGCATTATGAGGATTATCACGAACCTAATAAAAATAAAAGGTTTTATTTAAAACTTTTAATTCCATTTTTCGGTCATTATTCATAGTATAAATCAAGAAGCTACCGTACGTCACAAGAAAACGACATTAAATTAGACATAAAACAAATAAGATCTTTATCAGGTCGACAACAACTGTCTCAAAGCCAATTTGGCAAGGAACTTCACAGTTTTCATGGAAATCATAAACAATGTCGTTGATAAGCTGACCACAAACTATAAAATCTTTATCATTAAGGCCATAAATTAGCAATGCCACATCGTAAACTCGTACCAAATAGGTATGTGGCTACGCAGATACTTCCATTAAAAATTCATCACATTTTTGCCACAATTAAAGAATAAGAAATTTATAAAATAAAATCAAGAAGCTTTAGTTTTGACCATAAATCCAATTTTCCATTGGCGCTGAAAAAATCATAAAAATTATTTTGATTGTCTATGAATTTTAATTTTCCTTCCAATTCCTACGAAAAAAAAAATGTCATTCGTCAGAGGCCAATGATCGTAAACGAGATTTTATGGCAATTAAAAAAAACTTCTATATATCTCATCTAAACGATACGAGAAGTGACTGTGTTATGGCTATTTCATAGCCAAGCATATTCAATTTGTCGTCCAGAATTTATTGAGATAATCATTTCTACCGTTTATTTCTAATCAGATAATGACCAGCTGTGTTACGCATGTGCATTTGAAACAGCAATAAAGATAATTTTTCTTGGTCTTAATTATGCAGTTGCAGCAGGTTAAAGTCAAATAGAAACTTTGATGATGTAATTGATGAAGTAAGCTTGACTTTTTCTACAGTTTCTAATGAGGAGGGAGTACTTGGGCTTTATGGACTTTGTAGATCACGTTCGGATCAGTACAATGAAGTGGCCCAAACTCAATGTTCCTAAACTTTATTAGCTTTGTTAATAGTGAAGTTCATCATCTATGATGGAGACAGGGGCTTTAAAATTGGAGAATTGGCTTTTCAAGCTTAAGTATACATTCATTTCATAACTTCCTTTTGATATATGTATATACCCTAATTTTCAATAATTCTACTGGCTATACACAAAGCATGCTTCTATAAAGCAGCACGTTATTTAATCGGATAAAGAATCTTACAATCTTGTATCACGTGGTGAGAAAATTGAATTCATTGATTAAAAATTTAAGATAAGAGTGTCAACAGTTAGAAGAGGTAGAAACACGTTGGACATAAATTTTAATTAGTGTCATAAACTATTGATTTAAATAAATTAAGAATTAATTGATTTGATTTATAAATAAATTTAAAATCAGAAGAACAAGAAGTTGTGGCTGTAAACGAGATTATTATTTATATCCATAGTAAATGCTGCTTGGAATATCTAATAAATTATATGAAAAATGTTTGTGACAGATTAAAATATTTGACAGGATTTGATATTTAAACATCTCTGCTGATTGGTGCTATCGGTTTCGAAGATAATTGATCACGTAAAGTTTCTATTGACCAGAATGAAGCAATAAAGAAATTGATAAATGATATCGTCATTAATTATGCATTCGATTTTGGAACCAAACCAGAGTTGTTGGTTGAATGACATCTTTTAGTTTATATATATATGGTTTATATAAACATGTAGTCGAAGTAGTGATTGATTGACAATTGATTCCAAAAAATTTACCTTTTTCTAAGCAAGAACGCGTCAAATTTTATTTTTTTTTTGGTCAAATGATATTTGGAACAAGGCGCAAAACCAGAACTTGACCAAGAAAGCCTATTTATTATCATAAGTAAAAGCATTTACATCCACAAAATCAGGTTTGCATCAAATATTCACTTCAATGTTACAATTCTCAAGTAACAAGGAATCTCACCAGGAATTGTCAACATTGTCTCTATCTCCATTGTGTACAGTACACAAAAAAACATTCCAGAAACTAATGATCACCAAAAAGAAACGCTTAAGAATGCCAGAATCTTTCATTTCCAAACAAATAAATGAAATACATATTTGGTCATTTGACACAAAAAAGAACAACAAAAGATATTCGGTCAATTATTCAGCCACATGCACGCGGATTCACTTTAACAACAGCATTGCAAATTAAACAGAAATAAACAATGAAAAATTCATTAAGCAACGAAGAAGACAAAACGAGAATTTAATGATGACGATGATGAGAAATGAACAAATTGACATTTTTGTAGACATAAATACAAGTTAAATAGCACCTGCTGTGTGTTCTAAGATTTTTCATAGCCGCCGTAGGCCTTTTTCATGTCGCTAGTCTATCCAACGTAAACATATATCAATTAGCAAAAAAAGAGAAGTGACGAAATATATGGCTATAAAAATTAATTCGCACCTAATTATTATCTTAAAGTCTTTATGTTTTCGTGTGTGTTACTGTTATGAGATCGTAAGCTCATTCAGAAAAATATTTTGTTGGTAAACTTAAATAAGAGAAAAGATTAAGTCAGACACAAAAAACATCTTGTCTTTTTGATAAAAAAAATGAGACTCAACATGATTTTCTTTTTATTCTTTGTTTTGAAGTTTTGAAATAGAAGCTGTCTGATTGTTATGCATTTTTTTTATCTTAATTTAAAAGTGTCTTGTGACAAAGTGTTGCGGCTAGTCTTTGTCTGTTTATACTTTCAACCGTTAATGCAAATCTAATATTTGAAGGATCTCAATAAGCCTCAAACGGTACCATCTAAGATATGAATATTTTTAAGAGAAATTTCACACATCACAGCTGGATGTTGGTCAAAAATTTAATTTTATTTTCCTTGCAGATCATGGACGAATCTGAAGAATTTAAAAAAGCGAGAAAATTTTAAGGGCGTTTGAAATTTTAAAAGTAGGACTTTCGGAATTACTGAGACCCCCTTTACTTCCAATAATCCAATAAACACCTGCGTTAGCTACAGAATTTTTTAATCATACTCTAAAGCAGCGTTACTAAAACACACACTTTAACACATCCATTGCTTTAACATGAACCAAGGGTCAGACACTCCAAAAGTATTGTAAGTATTGTACAATACCGTACAATACTTTGGAGTGTCTGACCCTTGACATGAACAACATTGATTTTTGATACTAGGAGAGAGTTACTTCCGAGAAGCACTAGAAAGCAGCACCTGATTTTAACAACTTCTATCCTTTCTCTTATCATAACATGTTAAAAATGATAGTCAGTCTCTGTGAAGATCTTAGAAATTCTTAATTCTAGAAACTTTTAATTCATTATACTCAAACTACAATTCATAAAAAATGCGCCATAAAATCTGAAAAACCATGAATTTTAATTTTAGATATTTTTCTTATCTTCAATCTAAATTTGCGTGTTGACGCGTAAGGTGAAAGACAACAATTCATAAATAAAATTAAAGAAGGTGATAAAAAAAATTTTCTTTTATTTTTTTCTTGGCGCTTACGAAATGTTTCCTTTTGCTCTGTATTTATTAGAGATTTAGATTTAGTGAAGAATTTATTTTAAATAAAAAAAATATTCAATTTTTTTATGTCTTTAAAATGGTTTTACTAGAATATAAAGATCATTTAATTTAATTTATAGCTTAATTTAAGTTTGCTTGATAATAATTTTAATATGGACATTCATTTAAATTAAAGGATAGTAATTTAGGTCAAAAACTTTTAAATTTATTATTAATTTCTGAGTGTGTAGCTGAATTGGTCAAGTTAGAGCGGTGAAATGTCATCACTGGCCTAAGCGGTAGAGCTATGACCTTACATGCCAAAGGTTGTGGGTTCAATCCTAAGCTAAGTCAAGTGGTTCGGATACTACTTTAAACTGGAGGTCTAAAGGGTGAAGTTCAATAGGTTCTGTTCTAATTTAAATCGCAGTGCCTACAGCTCAAAAGGCTGGGCCCCCTCCATGCTACCTTTCTCTTTTTGGTTAAGTTAGAATTATAAGAAATCTGATTTCAGTCAAAGTCATGAGCCAAAAAAAAAAATAAAGTAACTGCCTATTTGAATAAAAATGTTATGCATTATCAGAAAACACGATCATAATTAAGAACTATAACTTTCAGGCTCAACCTGAAAAATCTCATAATCAATATTTAGACATCCTAAACTTCAAAACATCATAAGTGAACAACCTCAACAGCTAAAAGCTATAAATTTGTTGACAATGCTTAAAAACTATGTCTGTGAATCTAGACTGAGCCAAATAACCTTCATGAAAATCAGCACATAAATTCCCATCAATAAATGTTCACATTTTTGCACACAAAAAATTTCTGCGATTCCCAATAGAAAAAAAATTTAAACATTCAAAAGTATTTTTACGTAAATTCTACCGCATATTTTATAGAATTTATTTTCATGACAAAGAAGAAAATTTATCACAAAATGTGATAAAGTTTTTATTTCATTTATTTCATTTCACTGTGTGTGCTTATCATGTAATTAAAATTATATTCACCTGCAGAGTGTTCCTCAATGCTGAAATCCACGAAAATTGGTTCCTTACAGTTAAGACTTTTATAAAACTTTTTTATGGTTTTTCAAATGTTGAACTTTCACTTTTTTAAACAAAAAAATCAGCTTACTTTAAGAAATAAAATTTTTTTTTTCCTTTTTTTCACAAATTTATTCTTAATGCGTTATTAGCGAAATTATTCGTTATTTGCATATCAAATCTGCGTTGCTTTCTATTTTGCTTGCTTTTTTTTCAAATCAGTTAATCCTGTTTATTAGCTGTGAATTATTTGTGTTTAAAATTGAATATTTATTCACTACTTTGAGTTTATTAGCTGTTCAAATTAAGTATTGCATTTGTTTTGGCTTTAGGAGTCGTTAAATTTGACAATTATAGGGTTCGAGCTAGGCACTATAAATGTTGATTGAAAAATCACTTGTTGTACTGACTAAGCACGTTTAAAAACATTTGAGGTTTTGGAAAAACTCCTCAAAAAATTCCAAAACTAGCTTATCGAAAAATATTGTGGAAAACACTTAAAACTTCCAAAAATGTTTAATTTAATTTGCTTTGAATTATCAAATATTGAATTTGTGTGCTGATAAGACAGCTGGCAATCGTGAATAACTTTAAGTGTATTTTTCCTCAATTTTTTAACATAAACTCCAATTTTTGGCATAGAAAAGTTTCACAAATCATTCAATTAAACATCCATAATCGATAAATCCATTAAGCGCCACACTGAATAAAGTTTTGATAGAAATTTAAATTCTTTTTTAATTTATACACTTATTGGATGGCACTTGATGACATTTTTGGCAATGTGAGTTTTTAAATATCTTTTAATGTTCAAAAAGTCTAAAAACTCAAAATTTTCCATCCAAAAAGTCACAAATTCTCACAACAAGTCACCATTTGTCACTGGAAAAAAATCTTTACTTCCAAAAAAAAATTATTTTATAATTTATTGCACTTTTCAAGCTCAAAACAAATACTCAGTTCAAATCGAGCATTAAAAACAGACAACCCAAATGCAGAATAAATCAAAATACGCGCAACTGACTCCAACTTGATCGTTTCACAGATTTTTAGCAACTGAAAATACGAACAGCATGTAAGAAAAAAAGTCAGAATGAATGTGAGATGTGGTGAGTAGCGTAGTCACGATTTCTCAATCTCTTTTCGATCTCCAACATCACTCTCAGTTTTTCATGCATGTCTCTTTCTCATTTCATTGCCGTACCGGTGAAAAAAAATCTTGTAATTCATGAATGAAGGCGGAAAGGAATGAAGGAAGGTGAAAAATGTTTTGATAAATATTTCTATAGCCTAGCACGATTAAAGTCGTTTCGATTATCAGTATTGTGTAGCAGTCACATTGTAAAGTATTGAAGAAATGGAAATTTAAATGTTATGATGTTGGGGATGATGCACTGCTTCCTCTTTCTAGGGGCACGCTGAACAACCAACCATAGTTAAACTTTATTTAAAGATCCGAGTGTAGAACATTGAATGTCGATTAAAGGTTAGACTAGAAACCGACCAAGATATGATCCAGAACCTTAAAATTTCAGAAAACATTCTAAATTCTTCTCATAAGTAAGTTTAAAGTTGATCTAACGGCTAGGATCTTCATCTTAACATTTACACATACTAAGGCTTAGATTCCTGTCAAGATCTAAAGATTTAATCTAATTTAAACACAGAATACAACATTCAATGATTGTTCTACGCCATATCAAGTGATAAAGCCTTGCACAAATTCCAAAACAAATCACGAAAGAGCCTTCAAGTGATTTTCTTAATGGTATCAATTACATGACAATTGATAGTGCAATAATACTGTAGCATTATGACATCATAATTTTTCATGTTCACAATCGATATCGCAAAAAAGGAATGAATGCAATATCAATTTTAATATGTTAAGTATTCATTCGTGAATATGGAAATAAAAAGAATTGCTTCAGGTGCAAATTATTTCCATTTTTTATCTTAAATTGTTTTGCTGCTTTTTCCTTTTTTGTGCCAAAATAAATTTTTTTTATGGAACACAGAAGATTGTTTTTGGATAATTTGAATAAAAGAAGTCGAATAATGACTGTCAATTAAGTTGGATTCTTTACAAATTCAGAATCAGGTTAGGAATCGTGAGTTGCTTGGGTTTCTTGAAGTTGTTCTGAATACAAACAATGTTCACAATTTAAAAGATCAAGATCCAGTTGAAATAATCAAATTGCAATAATTAGCGCCAATTCAAAGTGAATTTATGCAAGCATTAAAACAGTTCAAGTTAAATCGATTCATTCATAAGAAATTACTGACGAACCTTCAATAACTTTTAACACTTCAATCTAATACAGCTAGTCAAACTACGATGACATGCAATAAAATGGCAATGACATACTCAAACGGATGTTTAATGCATTTACAATTGCACAATATTTTATGGACATTTTTATTCTTTCTCAGCCAGTCTATTTGCTGTTCAAAAGAAAAATGTTTTACAACGCCTAGCAAATAAGATCTACAAAGGATTGCTCTAGAGCTGGAAGAGAAAAAAAGCAAAAGAAATTTGCATTTACATGCTAAAATTAGCGAGACATCGATGACATTCTTTTTATGCACATTTTCTCTTCTTTTATTTTTTAAAAATTTAAATTTCATTTATTCAAAGCTATACCACATAGGAATTGGAGTGTTTCGCGACGACAACATTGTTGCCCATTGCTCGAGATCAGCTAGATCAGGTCGTATGTATACAGTTCCGAGAACTATCTTCTTTCCTAGTTTTGTCTTTGTTGCTACTGTCGTCTGGTGTCGTGTTTATGATGCATCGAGTGTTAATTGATTGGATTATGAGGATGAAATAAAAATTATTGAATTGGCGACTGCACATGACTTCCTGAATGTTATTAACCATCCAGAATTTCAGAAATAACTCTTACCTTTATTGAGACATGCTCCAAACTGTCTTCATTATTCAATGGAATGATAATTGTAGACTCAACTTGGTTCCATCGTGCAGACAATGTTGGTAAGAATAATTCACTTTTCCACGTCTCAGAAAGAATTTCATGCTCGAATACTGTCGTCTTGAGATAAATTTGTGCTGTGAAAAATGGAACCTTGAAAAATCATATCACGTCCAATAAAAATATTTGAAAATTCTTTACCTGCGTCATTCTCAAATTCTTCCTTAACTTTTATGGAACATCGCATTTTTGATGTTGTTATTTTAAGGCAAAGACTATTGTTGCTCTTTTCACGCTTTGGCTTCATAAGCTTCTTGACATTTGGGAATTTCTTTACATCACTAAGACTGAATCTGTGTTTTGTGGTGGATGACGTGTTGTCACCGCATTCGAATGGGTTTAGATTTTTATCATATTTTGACACTTCATTAACATCAGCCTTACTTCCGACATCAATAGTGCTATCACATAGTTCAAGAATTATTTCCACCTGTCCTTTTGGACTTGATGAGACCTAAAACATTGTGGAAAAGTCTATAATTAGAATGGAAAATCTCTGCTGGTGACAATTATGTTCCTATGTTATAAATCATAACAAAAATTTTCAGTCATCATCCATTTTCGCGTCATGACTTAAATAAATGACAGAAAAACTTGTACCTTAATTAATTTCATCCAGATGTTACATTTTTCTCATTTACACATTTTTAACGGCTTTTTCAAAATTGTAAATTATGTTGATTTATGTTTGTCGGTCTGTCAGACTACTACTCAACTTTTTTTGCTTTTTGGAATCAGATATAGGAGCCAGGTTTAAAAAGATTGAAAAAAGGAATCTGATACAGTTCAAAAGGAGTCTATTTTGTATTTCAATTCTATTTTGATTATTATTTCAAATTTAATCTGACCGTTATTATTCAAAAGAATTGAAATCATTTAATTCAAAAATTTTTTTGGTCGTTAAAATCTAAAAAGTGGAAATGCGCCTATATCAACCTTAAATACCCACGCTTAATTAAATTTCACGTAAAGTATTAATAGAAATGCATCAAAAACTCTTCATTTCAGTCGTCGGAATAAAAATGGTGAAGAAAATTTGATGTGTTTACGACATGTCATTAAATGAACTTCATGTCTTGAAATGTGTACGTGAAGAATGAAAATGATGTTCTGCTTTATGTTTACGATTATGATGATGAGGTAGAAATGTTGAAAGAAAATTAATGTCATGTGGTGAGTGTAATGTGAAAAATTTGAGGAAGAGAAAATCTTCAACCATAAAGATAAACTAAATAAGCTGGTCAGGTGCTCTAAGCTTACCGATAATTTAGCATTCGATGGGACAGTTATGTCTTTTATGGGCAGCCACATCTCATTTGTAAAGAACGACCGACTTTTTGCATTCTCCTCGAATACTTTTGGATCCAAAAAGAAAGTCACAGATCCAATATTTCTTTGAGTTTCGCTCGTAGTTAATTTTGAAGCGTTCTTAGTTTCTGATGAATTTTTCGCCGATGTGAGATTAAGTGATGTGTTGAGGATGTTTACGCGGTCACGCAACATTATACTTCCTTGTCGTTTCAGTGACTTGTAGGTTCCTTTGATACCTGTATAAGTCTGTAAATAGAAAGGAAAACTTTGTGTTAATTTAATTTTTTTTGGGCGTCATTCATAAATGATGTTCATTGAGAACTGGATCTCTAACGCTCATCTGTCACCAAAAGCTAGTCTTAACATATAAAAGTGTCATGGATGGACAGTGAACTCTTAATAGATTCATCAATTATTAATTAATACTTACTCCATCGGGAAGTTCCAAAAGTGCAATTACAGTAAAAACTACAAAAGTTCCCTTGAATAGTTTCTGCGGCAGTGTCTCATTTCCATTTATATCTTGGAAGTCCCGGTACTTATTCTTCATTGATGATCTAAAAAAATGGAATCATGACTAACTTGTCAAAAAATAATTCAGTATAATTCTCACTTCAAGGACGATGCCATTGGAAATCGAAAACTTTCATTAAACTTTGGCCATGATGATGTCTGAATTGATGAATCAAACTTTGAAGTACCGGGGAAGAGTTTTACCTTTAAAAAATATTATTATAGTCAATCACTCGTCAAAAGAATTTGTGCCGACTTACTTTAATCATGTAGCCTTCAACTGTTTTTAATCCAAAATTTGAAGGTAAATGTCGTGCACCAATTAGATTCACCTCCAATTCGGGAACTAAAAAGAAATGAATAAAGTGATTACCTTTTCTTTGTAGCTACTTTAAGTCATTTTAAAAACCGTTAAAATAATTTTTCAAATAAAATCTCACCACATGTATTGTCGCTTGCCGACTCATGAAGCGTAACTTTAAATCCAACAACTGGCTCAACTTTATCTTTCTCATGTCGGTTATGTTTAATGGAATGCATACCATCCGATCGTTGGTTGAAGCTCACCGAGCGTGTAATTGCCTTTAATTTATTCATTATATTCTTCCGCAAGTGTGCAGGAATTGATGAATGTAAAATTCAATTAAGCTAAACTTTCCTCTTTTTATTTCTGCAATTTGATTAAGATTGACATCAACTGTACAAACATGCACATTTGACCTATGATGATTGCTAATTTATTTGTTACTTTCACTACTGCACTGCAATCTATCATGAGTTTGTTTATGAAACACTCAATTATTCTCAATTTGCCACTTATTTGTGTCTCTTTTTATAGCTACTGTGTGATATGTTTATTCACTGTGGATTAGAAAATTTTTATTTTTGAATTACTAATGTGGATAAGGGTGTGTTGATTATGAAATTAGTGGCAATAATATGACAAAAACACTCCAAAATTAAGTGTCAAGATAAAGTCGAAAAATTCCTAAGATTATTTTTATTAAGATAGGTTATGAATCACCGAACAGCCATAATGCAATGGGTTCAGATGAGTTGTCAGGTGTATTGTTCTAGAGTTGGATTAAAGTGGCTTGATAGCTTTGTAGTTTTAGACTTTGAGTTCAAATTCTAATGTTTGTGGGTTCGAGACATGCTATGAAAAGGATTTAGAAGAATAAGTCTAGAAATATAGTATTTTGGGGCCATTCACTTATTACGTAACGCTTTTAGGGGGAGGGGGGGGTCTATGATTTTGTTACGATTCAAACAAGGAAATTTTTTTTCATACAAATTTTGTTACGAGGGGGGGGGGGGGGGGTCTAAGAAGTCATTTTTTCGCGTTACGTAATAAGTGAACAGCCCCTTTAGGGTTATGGCATATTGAATTTTCAACACCTTCCCCCTACGCCCTCCAGATATGACGAGTCCTTACCAGGCGTGTAGCCAGGGGGGTATTTGGGGGACAAATCCCCCGACGTTAACAGAAATTTCTTCATTTTGCCAGAAGTTTTATGAAAAAATCATAAAAATCCCCCCCTCCCTATGAATTGTCAATATAATTTTTTTTTTTGTCCCCGTTCTTCAAATTCCTGGCTACGCCCCTGGTCCTTACTTATTAACAGTTATCATAATATGAAGACTACTTTATTGTACTTAAACACTAAGTTATAAAATAAATTACAGCCTATTAGAGTTCTTTAAACTGTCTCCAAGTTCCAATCTAGCTCCAACCCTACACATTACTCATCCGAATCACCTCAATCTAAAACTTCAAGATCATCGCAAGCCTCAAATTCAAACCAATTTAGTGAGCAATCAAAATTTTGTCACGAGCTATCTTGAAATTGCTCACTTCTCCTAAATTGCCTTCATGACAAATTTGCTCGTTAATTTGTGGAACTGACAATCTGATTCTTTGTTTCAAGCTACAAAAAAAAATGTTTTTATTGTACTAAATTTATCAATAACATTTTCTTTTTATTTCCAAAAAAACGAAATTAATCACACTTATTGATTTCTCACAGAAACACATAAACTTATTCTTTTTAACAAATTGTATATTCTATTGGTTAAAAGCAATTGTTTATTTACATTCATTTATTCACTTTACACACAACATCTCGCCGCAAACTCATAAAACTGCATCTCAGTTTTACAGCTTTAAAGCAAATAGAAAAGGTTAAACTTTAGTTTCACTGTCAGCTTGGAATCAATTTAGAGGCTTGTATTGCCGTGAATGGGAATTGTTTTGAGATATTCTATAGGAACTAGAAATTGTGCATTTACGTCTTCCTTAACACTTGGAATTCAAAGAAATTAAATCAAGGCTTATTTTGATAAATTTTTGACATTTTTGAAACATTTCAAACTTAAATTTATTTTTTGACCATGCATTACTTAATTCCTGCATGTTCCATTGTCATCAACACTTTAATTCAAAATAGATAAACCGCATTTTTTAATCAAACTCATAAAATCTCAATCAAACTCCCATGCGACTACAATAATTCTTCAACTGACACGATTTTTTTTATATATCAACAAAAGATTTATTCCAATTCGTAAATTGGCACTTCACAATAGAACTGAATAATTCTTGAAATTAATTCAACACGAGAAAATATTTTTATAATAAAATTGTTGTACTTTAAATTATAGTTTTTTTGGTTGTTATATTCTATCGACAACACTGAGTAGCTTATTTTGCACATGAAGAGATTATGAAATAATCTTGTGTGAATTTTAATAATACATGAGTTGTTACATGTATTACTTCTGTATTAATATTATTGCTCATGGTCGTATGTCGTTAAGATTTCAGATACAATGGATTGCATTACAAGTTAATTAAGATAGACACTAAAGTTGTTTATTCAAAATTAATTTGATAGCATTGAGTGATATTATCTACTCAGTGTGGTGTGTTAAGGGCCAATCAGCGGAGCTGCACTCCTATTCCCACTTTAGTGAGCTATATTCACCTTATAAAATATTAATTTCTTTTAAAGTTCAGCACGGCACAGTCACATCAAAACAATTTTCATTTTTCAAGTATTTGCTCACTTTATTGCATAAAGTACACACATTATCAGCTCATAAAACAGCACAGTGTACATAGCAATAAATATTAATAAGAACAACAACACAAATTGACGATAAAATAAGCGAATTTAAACTTTTTTAATGCATTATCATTGAAATGAATTTACAAAAGGAAATTCTCTCTGAATTCATCTCGACTATTTAGTATACACTTTCAGACTGTCAATCGTTCACTATTCTCTCTCGATTTATGAAAAAAAAAAGTTTCTGTTATTGACTTTTTTTATTAGTAAGTTTCTACTTCTTCCATCTCTTTTCATCTTATTCTTTGAATTGTTAATTGATGGTCGCAATACAATTCAGATTTGTTGGTTGACAGACTATGTTTTTATTATTTCTTTTCCTCTTGAGTATCGTCTCTACAGTCAATAATGAACTCGATCACCCACACAAAAATATATATATGAATTCTCAATTCAGTGAAGCGTGGACAAAATTTTATTTATTGGAAGAAAAAAAATTTCAGTTCAATTTTTTTTGTGGAAAGCATGGAAAATTCACTTTTAATATTCAACGAGGCATGAAGATTTTATGACGAAATTTTGGTTGACAGTGTTGGCTAATCTAAGTGTCTAGGTCAAAATTAGATCGTAGAACTGTAAAAACCACTGGATCCGGTGTCTAGGGCAATTCTTCCCTTGATGCTTGAAACTGTTTCTGAACTTGTCAAAATGAATCAATAAAGTTTTAGACCTAAGGGGCTGTTCACTTATTACGTAACGCGAAAAAATGACTTCTTAGACCCCCCCCCCCCCCTCGTAACAAAATTTGTATGAAAAAAAAAATTCCTTGTTTGAATCGTAACAAAATATTAGACCCCCCTCCCCCTAAAAGCGTTACGTAATAAGTGAATGGCCCCTAAGGTCCTCTCATAACACTTTATATGCCAAAATGCATACTCACTGCACACTGAGAAGTCTTTAAATAATAAGGATAGGGGCCGTTCACTTATGACATCCGACAATTAGGGGAGGGGGGTCTAGGATTTTGTGACAGTTCAAACAATGAAAATTTTTTCCAATAGAATTTTTGTGACAGAGCGGGGGGGGGGGTCTAAAAATCAGGTTTTTTGATGGACGTCATAAGTGAACGACCCCATATGAATCTAGACTAGTTTTTAAAGATTGAATTGAATAAAATACTCTGTGACTTTGAGACTCCATCCAGACTCATATAGTCATTCAAACATTCAACCTGGAGCTGCATTTCAAATCTTGGATTTGTTTTAGTATCTTTTTATCCAAGCAACAATCAAATATTGATCAGAACCAGATAAATCTGTGTCATAAATAGACCCGATTTAAATATTCTTCAGATTAAGCAGAATGCTAGACACCAACACTGTCAGTTGATTTATTGAACAATATTTTGAAACTTTTTGAAGCTAAAATAGCTTTGCAATATCTTTAGAAAATAGTCAACTGTCTGCATTAATTGTCTCTATTTAATTCTTGGAAATTGTCACCATATTATTTACTAGACTCGCATGATTGCTTTCATACCGGTCACTCAAAACGTTTAAGATAAACTAATTGACATCACAATACGGAGCATATACGCATAAGCACGAGAAAAACATAAATGAATGAACATTTAACGAGTTTGGATATTTATAGCAGCGTCATCAATGTTTTAATTGATTCATGTAGGGTTATTTATAGAATCTTTATCGTATCGTAGAAGGGGCTACTTCGGAGTAAAATAAAATTATCGATTGACTTTTTTTTTTACACAAATTCGTCACTGTCATCATTGTCATCATGCATTGCCACTAATTAATAATATGTGAGATCTAAAAAACTGTTAATTAACTTTACAATTTTTTCCACTTTTATGACGACATCTTGACACAACAAAATGATAATGTCGTTCCTTCCACACAAAAAAAAGTTTCGACTTTACCGCACGACTGAAAATTCTCAACTGCAAAAAATAAAGTTGTGCTTATTCACACATGAGGAGAGGAAAAAATAATTCACACTTTGCAGCAAATGAGAATTGTTATCGGGAGACAAACACTAATTTGAAGGAAAAAGAAATAACGTAATGTGTATATTATCAACGATAAGATAAGTTTTAGTTTCAGTCTGTTGCTGTTTAAATAATGAGATGTATACAACATAAAGTAGGTTCAATGTGAATGAATGTTTTTAATTTTTTGGAGATTAGATCAGCTTGAATTATCTAAATTCCCTTGGTCGGGGTTAAAATCCTCTTGGTATGAAAATTATTATCAACTAATGGGTTTGGATTAACTTTGAGAAATCTGACCTTGTGATTATTACTGTTTTTATTTTTGTATATTTTATAGCTTTCTCTTAGTTTATCATGAACAGTTCTTGTTGGTATCATACAGATTAGGGGCTCATTCACAAATAATATTTAACCTTCAGGATGGACGCGGTATCTAAGGTCTCAAACCTTGAAAATTCATTTGATATGCAACCTACAATATGAATTATAAATAATATCTATCTGAGACTAGCTAGGGTAAAGTGCCAGGGTAGATTTAAAAACCAGCTCGAAAATTTTTTTTCTAATATTTATTAATTATCATAAACATCCTGTATCATAAAACAACAACTTAATAGACTCCCAATTTATATGTCAATATGGACAACTTTAGGATACCTAAAAAAAATCAACTAGACCATTATTGTTACTGTATGTCAAAATGATTTCACAATGCAATTACACTTATGTCATTTTTAGGGAAGTGAATAATCAGTAATAGATTGATAAGAAGAGATCGATAGTGTAAGAGGACTAATAATACACGCATTATGTCATGTTATGAAAACAGATTGAAGCTTTTACTGAAAAGAACTTTAACAGCACGTTATCCTATATTGAAGCTTTTTTATTTTAATCGCTAACCTTATTTATGAACTTAACGTAGATTGTGGTGTAATAATTAATTTTGCATTAAGTGCTATGAATCATTGTCATATTTATATTCACACCGTTTTCACGTGTGAATCTATTGGTTTTGTTCAGATTGGAAAAATCAGTGTTTTGAATTTTGCGAGGAAATAGAGCAAGATAGCTTAAAATATTCAGAGATGAAAAGTTTGTGCCTTGAATTTCACATCTTTTGCAAAAAACAGATTTCAAATTGGTTGCGGCATTGCTGAGAAAATCGCAAAATATGCTTTCTGTAAGCAAACAAAACTAGTAACTAAACAAAAAAGTGAAAAACTAGATTTTGACTGGACCTGTCCCAAGTTCATAATTGAAAATGTATTTCCTACTTGGTTCTTTGCTCTAAAAAATTTTAAGATGTTTTATTTGTATTTGTTTTAAGCACTTGAATATTTATGCAAAGTTTCAATCCATTTGGATAAACCATCGAAGAAAAAAGTGACAAAATTGATTTTGACTAGGGTCGCCCCTAGTCCAAAATTGAAAATTGATTTTCTATGGTGTACTTTGGTCAAAAAATTTTAGGATGTTTTATTTGAATTGACATAATTCTGACATAAATCACATACCAATATTACTTTTTGTAATGCATAGCTTAAAAAAAATCGAAATCTAAAATTTCGACTACCCCATCTGAATTTTGTTCATACTCTACACTGTAAACCAAAAAAAAATCTTTATCTTAAAACACTTGACAAGATAGCGACATAATTCAGGATTGATTACGTTTTAATAATATTTTAACATTTACGAGAAAATGTGGTTCAAATAAGTGTGAAGTATGGCCGAGATTTGGATCAAAATCAGCTATACTTGTTCATAGTGTTCCCGAGGGTGACAAAATTCAAACTAAGTGTTTTTGTAGCTGACATAATTATGACATAAATTAGGTATAACTTTTGAACTGTGTCGATATGAGTCTCGGGTACTTCACGCCCACCCTTCAAACTTATGCTGAGCAAATCTTGGTTTATCCATAAGACTTTTGATGGTACGGTGTGAATATATCCGCATTGGGTTTCTACCCGATACACTAGTTTGTTTACTTGGAAATGCTATTGTCATTTTTTATTGATAACAACCACAACCAGGTAACTTATACTTATTTTTACAAATCTTTTTTTGCAGGAAATGTTGTTGCTTAAATGTTTATTTTGACGCAATTTCTCAAAAAAAAAATTTTTCATGAGCAATTGTCTAGTAGACATTTCGGAACTTTGCTGGAGGTATCTTAAGAGCTTTTATGAATATCAAGCAGAGCTCGAAGTCGACTCAAGATTTTTATCGATTTTGTATGCTCTATTATCAAGTCATATTTCGACTGAATCACAAATGAGGTTTTTAAAGAAAGTGATGAAAGCATTGCAAACATCTTGGATACATCTTAGAAATATGATAAAGCTTAAGACAGAACATGATTTGACACCTGAATAATACAAGTTGGTTAATCGAATAAAAATCCATCGCTAAGCTGGCATGACTCTAGCACAATGCTGCCTTAAATTTAAATCCAGCACCATGCTAGAGTCACACCGGCTTGGTACTGGATTTTTTATAGATTAACGGACAGCACATGATTCTGGACATATTCTAAATTCTTATCATCCATAATAATATTCACGTCTCGAACAAAATTACTTACTCAAATATATTTGAAATTTTTCCACCCTGTTTGAGTAGCTTTATCAATTATTGATCCTCAACACTCTATTGCTACCTTATCAAACACGTTCTGATAACAAGTATTGATTATATTGCCAATCAATAGGAATTATTTTGTTAGTAATTGTTGAACAGTGAAACAATAAAGTCGAAAAAAAGTAAAAACTTGCTGAAATTCTTTATTGGATTTAAAGAATAAAAAGAAGAAAAGAAAGTCTTTAGTTATGAATAAGTGGATTGAATCTTGAAAGATCAGTTAAAATGAAGATAAATCAATTGATAACTTTATTATTCATCTCCTTGATTTGTGTAATTGGAATTAAATCACAAGGTGCGATAAGTGTGCTTGACATAAAGTCAACAAAAGAACTGAAAATCTTTTAAGAGGTTGTAAATTTTGAAGATCTGATAAGTGTGGACTGTTTAATCCCAGTTGATCTTTAAGTGTGTAAAATAATTGAGTTTTGGCAGTAATAATTAGCTTATAGGAAGCTGTCAGTTTAAAGTTCCAGTAAAAAGTGTTAAAAATTAATCTAGAACTGCCTAAAATTAAGAATATTCTGAAGAGTGATTAAAGTGGTTGTCTAATATTGATGTGCTAAATTTAAATATCAAGAATAAAGAAAATGGTTTCAAATTTCACCATTTCCTGCTCCTAGTCTAATGCCCTTCAGGTTTATGACATTTCTTATCGCCATTTCCCATATGATAAGATTTGCTGAATTGTTTTCGATTTCTTGTGAAACTTATCAAACAATTAATAATATCAATATCTTAAAGATATAAGAAGCATCTTTAAGTAATTGATGTTGTCAGAAACTTTGTAGACGGGATTCCTCGTGACACACGTTATGATAGTGTTTTGATTAGTCATGTTTTAGCTTCTTCGTTTTGTAGCCATGAGCAAAACTTTAGGTCAGTCAGTAAAAGTCTACTTAAAAATCAACTAATTTTAAGTTGACTACAGCTGATTTCAGAAGTAACATAAATGTTGTGCTATTAGACAGAATAGAGTTGTCTTCACTTCTTAGTGGTTAAGGATGCACAGTCTTCTACCTAGCTAGAAGATATCTAGTTTTAGTTTATAATTCTTAAGTTCTTTACATTTTCTCCAATTCACAAAATTTAAAGGCACTTTCAGATGTCATAAATTTATTATTATCATCATTAAAGATTAAGGCTGTTTCGCATACTTATCAATCTGCTACAGTAATACACTTTTTGTGTATATTCATTAATCGATTCAAATGTCAAGAGGTTTATTATTTTTCCTTAATTTTAGAAACATGTGAAAATTATAACAATCAAATTGTCGAAGTCAGTGTGGTTCCCCGTTATATTGGTGTCGTTGAAACACTTAAGATAACTAATGCAGTCAGTATGAGTAAGTGTGATAATGAATCTTATTGTCATTGACATTTTAAACAATCTATGATTTGCAGCATATAGCACAAATCTAGGACAGTATTTTTCTGCTGAACTGGTAACAGATCAGAATGAAATTAGACTATCGACAACAGAAAGCTTTGCTAATTACGAAAAGGATAATAACGTCACGAGAACAGTTTTGAATTTAAATATTCGTTGCAGTTCTTCAAATACAAATTTGGAGTTTAGAATAACGATTAGTTCTGTAAATAATTATCCACCAGAATTTACAGCATCAAACTATGAAATTAAAATTCCAACTCCACTCGCAAAAGGAGCAGAACTAACATCATATTTAGAATTTGATGATCAGATTCTTGCTACTGATTACGACCTTTACGACAACAGTTTAAGCTTTACATTAACTGGAAGTGACTTATTTTATGTTGAAAGTGTTGATATCACTGGAATCAAATCAACTTTTAAGGCAAGGATATTTACAAATCAGCAGATAATAAAACTAGAGAACGATATCGTAGAATTAACATTGACTGCTACGGTAAGAAGATTTCGACATTTTTATTGGTTATACTTAATTAATGTCAACTTTTATTCTTTAGGACTCATCAAATGAACCAAAATCTTCAAGTGTCAAAGTCAACATTTTTACAGATCCTGAAAATACTTTCATCGAGTCTCCAAAATTCTCCAAACCTCTTTATAGAGGGAATCTTGAGAAAGGAAAGACATTAGAAATTGAGGGTATCCAACTTGATGAGAGCACATACGATGATAATGTTAGATTTGAAATTGCTGGTGATCTTTATGGAATCATTAATATGACTAGCGATGGTCCAGCTGTTAAAATAACATTAAATGAAGGAAATTTACTAGAAGAAGTCTTTAAACAAAAATTCATTGACTTCGTAATAGAAGCGAAACGTGATGGAGACAATAGTGGATTTGCAGTAGTCATTATAGACGTGTCGTTGCCAATATTTACATTTAATTTCGAGAAATCACTTTATGAAGGCGAATTAAAAGAAAAAGGACGAGCTTTAAGCATCCAAGGAATGAAATTATCTACAAATGGATCTTTGGAAACAACTTCATTGAGCTTGTCGCAAGTTGATGCCAAATATTTCGATTTGAATATTAATGCTGATATTGTTTCTATTAAATTGAAAGAGGAAGCACCAATTAATGAAATTATGACCAAAACCTTATTGTTCGTCACGGTTGAAGCTATTCAAAATAACACAGTGATCGCATCCACAAATGTCATCATAAAAACTGTAGCAATTTTGGTTCCTCAGTTTGAAAATAACTTTTATAGAGCAATTATTGAAAATGGAGATTTGAAGCATGAAGGAATTTTCATTATTGAGGATTCCATAAGTCTCGATGAAGAAATCGAAGTATCTTTAATTGGAACTGAAAGGCTAATTTTTGATGTGGAACTGACTGAACGAGAGATTTCATTAAAATTAAAAACTGGAGCAGAAATTCCAAAAAACAAAAGCTTTTTGACTTTACAAATCCAAGTTAATGTTAAAAGCTCAACAAAGAAAAATACAGCAGTTATAATTTGTGAGCTTGAATTTACTAGTAATCCACAAGAGTTTTTGCAGTTCAATTCACAGCTGTATGAAGGAAAAATTTCCCAAGATTTAGTTTTAAGCTCTCCAGATATCATACTTAATACAGTTGAGAATGTAAATATAACTTTGTCAGGAAAGCATGGAAGCTATTTCGAACAAGATTTTAATGAAAACCAATTAGTACTAAAACTTCAAGGTGGAGTCGTTATTGAACAGTTTTCAACAGATTTCTACATTCAAATCACGATCGAAGCATCTCGTGAGAATTTTACATCAGCAACTTCCAATGTCATTTTTGGAATCCAAAGGAACTTAATAACTGATACAACATTTGAAAAAAGTTTATACATCGGCAAAATTGATGGTCAAAAGGAATTAAAATTGGAGAATTTGATTATCAAGTCTGACAATCTGTTTACTAATGTACGATTGGCAGGAGATGATGCTGAATTTTTTAATGCCAATGTTCATAATAATGTAATCACGTTGCATTTGTTTAAAAATATTACAGAAGATTTGCTGCTCAAAAAAACAATCTTATATGCAAAAATCGTTGCTGAATTTGAAGACTCTTCAATAGCTACAAATGTCATTGTCACTCTACCACGACCTGATGAAATTAAAACATTAGCCTTTGAGACTAGCCATACATCAGGAACGATAAGAAAAGATGAACTGCTAAATCTTGAAATTGGAGAATTTTACTTACATCCTTTTAATTACGATGAGACAGTACAATTCAATCTTACTGGAACCGATGCACATCTTTTTAATTTAGATCAAAACTTGAACAAAATTCAACTTAAAATGAACCAGGGCATTAATGAAGACCAACTTAATAGCAAGAAGTTTATATTATTATCTGTAATAGCCACAAAAGAAGAATTTGAGAAAGCTGAGCATTTTATATTCATCAATGTTGAGATTTTCAACTCCAGTGAATCAATGTTTGAGAAAACTTTGTATGTTGGAACTGTTGATGAACAAAGAGAACTTCAGATTGAAAAACTCATAATCAAGTCTGATTATGAGTTCAACAGTATAGAGTTTATTGGTGATGATACAGAGTACTTTGAAGCATTAATCGAACAAAACCAAATTATCATCAGATTGTTCAAGAATATAACTGAAGATTTACTGATTCAGAAGTCAATTTTATCAACAAAAGTGATTGCTCAGTATGATGATATTTTAATTTCCACAAATATTATTGTGAAACTTCCAAGACCAGATCAAATCAAGAAACTGAAATTTGAGACCACATACACTTCTGGAACAATAAGGAAGGATACAGAACTTGTTCTTGAATTAAATGAATTTTCACTCAATCCTGCAAATTACGACGATACAGTACAATTCAATCTAACTGGAACCGACGCACATCTTTTTAATTTAGACCAAAACTTGAACAAAATTCAAATTAGATTAAAACAAGACCTTGGTGAAGAGCAACTTAATAGCAAGAAGTTCATATCATTATCTGTAATAGCCACAAAAGAAGAATTTGAGAAAGCTGAGCATTTTATATTCATCAATGTTGAAATTTTCAACTCCAGTGAATCAATGTTTGAGAAAACTTTATATGTTGGAACTGTTGATGAACAAAGAGAACTTCAGATTGAAAAACTTATAATCAAGTCTGATTATGAGTTCAACAGTATAGAGTTTATTGGTGATGATACAGAGTACTTTGAAGCATTAATCGAACAAAACCAAATTATCATCAGATTGTTCAAGAATATAACTGAAGATTTACTGATTCAGAAGTCAATTTTATCAACAAAAGTGATTGCTCAGTATGATGATATTTTAATTTCCACAAATATTATTGTGAAACTTCCAAGACCAGATCAAATCAAGAAACTGAAATTTGAGACCACATACACTTCTGGAACAATAAGGAAGGATACAGAACTTGTTCTTGAATTAAATGAATTTTCACTCAATCCTGCAAATTACGACGATACAGTACAATTCAATCTAACTGGAACCGACGCACATCTTTTTAATTTAGACCAAAACTTGAACAAAATTCAAATTAGATTAAAACAAGACCTTGGTGAAGAGCAACTTAATAGCAAGAAGTTCATATCATTATCTGTAATAGCCACAAAAGAAGAATTTGAGAAAGCTGAGCATTTTATATTCATCAATGTTGAAATTTTCAACTCCAGTGAATCAATGTTTGAGAAAACTTTGTATGTTGGAACTGTTGATGAACAAAGAGAACTTCAGATTGAAAAACTCATAATCAAGTCTGATTATGAGTTCAACAGTATAGAGTTTATTGGTGATGATACAGAGTACTTTGAAGCATTAATCGAACAAAACCAAATTATCATCAGATTGTTCAAGAATATAACTGAAGATTTACTGATTCAGAAGTCAATTTTATCAACAAAAGTGATTGCTCAGTATGATGATATTTTAATTTCCACAAATATTATTGTGAAACTTCCAAGACCAGATCAAATCAAGAAACTGAAATTTGAGACCACATACACTTCTGGAACAATAAGGAAGGATACAGAACTTGTTCTTGAATTAAATGAATTTTCACTCAATCCTGCAAATTACGACGATACAGTACAATTCAATCTAATTGGAACCGACGCATATCTTTTTAATTTAGACCAAAACTTGAACAAAATTCAAATTAGATTAAAACAAGACCTTGGTGAAGAGCAACTTAATAGCAAGAAGTTCATATCATTATCTGTAATAGCCACAAAAGAAGAATTTGAGAAAGCTGAGCATTTTATATTCATCAATGTTGAAATTTTCAACTCCAGTGAATCAATGTTTGAGAAAACTTTGTATGTTGGAACTGTTGATGAACAAAGAGAACTTCAGATTGAAAAACTCATAATCAAGTCTGATTATGAGTTCAACAGTATAGAGTTTATTGGTGATGATACAGAGTACTTTGAAGCATTAATCGAACAAAACCAAATTACAATCAGATTGTTCAAGAATATAACTGAAGATTTACTGATTCAGAAGTCAATTTTATCAACAAAAGTGATTGCTCAGTATGATGATATTTTAATTTCCACAAATCTCATTGTAACACTTCGAAGACCTGATGAGATCCAAAGCCTTAAATTTGAGACATCTTATTCAACTGGTAAAATTGTAACTCATCCTGAGTTAAGCTTTGAACTTGATGAAATTTCTCTGCAAACTGGGAATTATGATGAAAATGTAAAATTCAATCTAGATGGAGCAGATGCTGATTTATTCGATATAGTCAGGAACGCATACAAAATTCAATTAAAATTAAAATCAGAAACAAACTCAGAAATGTTAATTGAAAAAGAAGTTTTAAGCTTGATTATACTAGCCACAAGAGAAAATTATGTCTCAGCTGAGCATTTTGTGGCTATTTACATTGAGAAATCAAGTACTTTAGCTAGTGATTCATTTGATAAAAGTTTATACATTGGAAATATTAATGAGCAAAAGGAGCTTGATGTTGAGAAAATGGTAATCAAATCTGATCAAGTTTTTAACACTGTTGAGATGATTGGCGATGATTCTGAACTATTCGAGGCATCTGTTAAACAAAATAGTGTAACTGTCCGCTTAAAGGAAGCAATAGCTAAAATTACTCTTCCTCAAAAAAGTTTGTTAAGAGCCCAAATAGTCGCAAAACATGATGATATATCCATTTATACAAACCTTGTTGTTGAGATACCACAAATCGATGAAGAACAAAGATTAAGTTTTGAAACACCATATACAGTTGGAAATTTGGAAATTTATCCACAAGCAAAACTATCAATTCAAGAAATCGTGCTAGGCTTGGCAAATTATGATGATAGTGTTCAATTTAATCTTACAGGAAGTGATGCAATTCTATTTGAGCTAGTTAGAATTGGAAATATAATTCAGCCTAAAATAAAGTCAGAAATCAATGAAGATTCTTTAGAAAATAAAGAATATTTTACATTAACCTTAAAGGCCACAAAACAAGGATTTGAAAGCGCTGAACACTTTATTTTTGTCAACATCCTGACACCAGAAATAGATGAATCAAGCTTCGAACAAAACCTGTTCGTCGGAAGTATTAACAATCAGCGAGTTCTTCTTCTTGATCCTTTACTTATCAAATCAGAACGAATTTTCGATGAAGTAATAGTCGCTGACGATGACTTTGAATACTTTGTTGCATCTGTAGATCAAAACTATGTGACAATTACATTAGCAAAAGAAATAACTGAGGATCTATTGCTAAAAACATCTTTGCTGTCCACAAAAATCATTGCTAAGTCAGGAGATATTACAATATCCTCAAATATTATTGTCACTTTACCTAAAGTAAATGGAGACAAGATTTTGAGGTTTGAAAGCCCTTATTATGTTGGAACATTAGATCAGTTAGAATTGGATATTGAAAACGTTGTGCTTGAAATTAATAACTACGATGAAACTGTGGAGTTTGTTCTTATTGGAAGTGACAAAGATCTTTTCAAAATTGAAAAAGATCAGAATTTGATAAAATTGAGTTTAGCAAATGATGTTACCCAGGAAGATCTGCAGAATCGTGTATTCTTAACTGCATCTATCACTGCCACCAGAAATGAATTTGCCACTGCTGAAACTGTAATCTTCGTCCATCTAAATGTCATTGTCGATGAAATCTCTCCAATAGAGTTTGATAAAGTAATTTACAGTGGAAGTCTTACTTTTAATAATGTTCTAGTATTAGACAGGATTTCACTAAAATCGAACGAAACTGAAATACAAATTTCCCATAAAGGAGATCATGCTGATAAGTTTACAATTAATGATTCAAACCTGAAAGATATTCATTTCAATTTTATACCTCAACCACTTGACTTTACAAGTAAGTTTTATCACTTTTACATTGAAGCATTAAAGTTTGGAGCACCAAAAGTTTATGCTGCTGTAATCATTCAAATTGTTGACAAGATTCAACTCAAATTTGATGAAGTAAACTATTTTGGAAGTATTGATGAAAAAGGAATTTTGATAATGGATCAGATTCCAATAAATTCTGAAATGGCGAATTCCGAAGTTTCATTCAGGTTAGTTGATGGACATAACGAATTTTTCGAACTAAATTCTACTGAATCGGCAATTCAAATCACAAAAACAATGTCTATCGCTGTCGAAAATCTTAGTTTTGTATGGTTTTACCTTGAAGCTTATGGCAGTAATTACTATCATGCTAGAACATTAATCGTCGTTGATTTTCCACAAAAGATTGATACTCCAATTGACGAATGCTATGACAAACTTGATCCAACACAACCATATTTTGAGACTGGATCATACTCGTTTACAATTATGAGTGATGAAACTGGACTCGCAGGTCAAATTCATGCAATCATCACTGATCCTGAAGATTCAATTGTTTCATATGAACTTCTGTTTGAAAATATCTTCCTATATGACAAAATTACAGCAGATGGAGGAGATATCAAACTTTTAGTTCAAATACCTGCAGGATTTTACCGAATGAAAGGAATCGCTTTAAGTATGAACAGTAATAAATCTGCTGAGACAAGCATTTTGTTGAGGGTCTTTGAACCAAAAACATGTGAAGACGGAAAACCTATAACAACTGTACAAAAAACCTTGGCTGTTGTGAAAATTGAAGAAAATGAGATCCATGATCAAATCATGTACATGACCATCGGTGACTGTCATTATGAAATCATCAAAGTTGTTCCGGATGTACTTAAAGGTAAATGTTTAATACAAAGTATATTGCTTTGGTCTAATCTGTTCTTTTATTTAAGACTCCCTGACAATCGACAGCACAACACGTTATTTGAAGAACATAATTCCATTTGATCGGGAAGATGCAGTATTTGCTAACTACAGTGTGCCCCAACTGCAAGTCACTCTCCATTTAATATGTCCAACAACATATCTAAGTCTATCTGATGATCAACGCATTCAGCCATACATGAACGAAGTCTTTACAGATGAAATTTTATACTCACCATCAATAACTTACTTAAATCTAGAGATTCTCGACCAAAATGATAATTCGCCAATATTTATTAATCCTTCAAATGTAAACTTTAGAGTTGCGTTCCCAGATGAAAATCTAATTGGACTAATTATGCCAAATTATTTATTCAAAGTTGAAGCTTATGATATTGATGATGGAATCAATGCGATTATTAGATACAGCACTAGCATGCCATCAATATTTGAAATTAATACCGTCACTGGTGAAATTTATCCATTAAGAACGCTTCCTGATGAGCCAACTGGATTTTTAATAACAGCAACTGATAGAGCAGGAGCAGGTTTGAGGACTACAACTTCAATAGATTTCAAGAAAATCAGCAGTGCCAATGTGATTGAAATTATTGCTGATAACTTTGCAATTAAGGATATAGATAGATTAGCATTGGAACTCTCAGAAAAATTAGAGGCAGATTTCAGAGTTTTAAGTTCCTCACAATTGCCATTCACAACAAACTCTCAAGTACTGAGGTTTGCAGACACTCAGGCAAAAACAAAGATTTATGGATATGCTTTCAAGACAAATAGTCTGGATTTATTTACACCAGCTGAATTGATTGAACAGTTAAAGGAACTAGAATTATCATTCCCAATAAATTATTCAGCAGTCGATGGATGTGCACAAGAAAAAAATGATGACGATGAATGTGACTTGACAATCTGGATCTTTGTTGTTTCATTCATGGGAACAGTGCTATTGCTCATTTTGATTTCTATTCCAATCTTTTGGTACTTCTACTTGAAAAAGAGACTCCAGAATAACGACAGTAATTCAAATTCATCTAAAGAGGAAATTGCAAATCGGTTTTATGACAATGATTCTGTTCGTGACAGTGAAATTGCTTCTGAAATAGTTGAAGCTATTACTGAATTGAGAACATCGGATGCTCAAATTATGGGCGTTGGAGTTGATGGAGTTACTGAAGGTATGTATGACAGCTAGCCAATTTATGGTAAATCTTGTCTTTAAAACGATCTGTACACGTGCTGTCCACATATAAACAGTACACTAAGAACTTGGTTCTAAATAATATTTATCCAAATTTAGATGAAAGCTCTTCAGACCCCGAGAAATTGAGTCACAAATTGATGTCAATATTGGAACCAAGCTCACCAATTCATGACAGAAAAGTTAAGTTTAATGAGATGGTTGAACGAATTGAAGTAATCAATGACCATGATCCAGATACTGATGACATTCCACATCATAAGAGATATTGATTTAAATCTATAAATTGATCTGTAAGTCCAAAAATTTCTGATATTTAATGAAATTCAAAGTTGTGCCTTTTTTTTTTACAAAATGTAAAAAACTTTATTAAAATTTCCTTTAAATTAACAAAATTCACATATAATAAAAAGTCATGTATTAGCTATGGATATAGTCTGATGCAGTTGTGCATTAATTACCCAATTAATAATACGATAATGTGATACGTGCAATAAATCAAACATACTTAAAATTAAATCTTGTTTCTTAATGAAAAAATGTGCAAAAGCTGTAATTATTTTATGCAGTATGCAATAATTGAAATATTTCATGCTCAACATGCTGTTTTCGATTATTCAAAAAAAAGTTTACTTTTTCTTCTTACAAAAAAAATCATCACAGCTTATTTGGTAACATCTCCACCTGTCTCAATGTTTTGTCAAAGGAGTCATAAGACTTCCTTCACATTGATGCATAATAAAATTAAAATAATAAATTGTTCAATCTTCATCGTGCTGATTGCATCCAGAAATTGATAAAATAATAAAAAAAAATCTTAACAAAAATATTTTAAAACTAAATCAATAAGGAAGGAGGAAGCTTAAATTTGAAGGTTAAGTTTTAGGTTGATTGCTACTGAAAGGAACTATTGAAATGAACAGTAACAATGAAACAATTCAGGATATGCTGATAATTGTCATGCATTGTTCTCTACCAGAAATCTAAAAAGACACTAAATCTAAAAGCACAAATAGTAAGAAGCTAAAGATAGAACAGATTGACAGAATATCAAACTTAATCAACTTCTAATTTTCTAAAAGATCCAACAATTCCAGCTTCAATGTCTGCATCATCGTTGCTCAACCAATTAACAGGTGCGCCTTCCAAGTCAATGAACATATCATCCAATGCCAATGTTTTTTCACGATTCTTCTTTAATGTCTCCTTAAACTTGGCAATCATTTCATCCATTGAGACTTTACCGCCATATTCAGTTGGTAGCAAGTCAGGATTGACACGCGATTTTAGTTCATCAACATTTTTATCGAAGAACATTCGCTTGCGTAATTTATCACTGACCAAACTCATAGCAAATTCAATGACTTTATTTGCAATGGATGGAATATTAACGAAATGAGTTTCTTTGTGTCTCATTGGTGACGATACCTGAATGCATTTCGACATTCTTTTGAGATCAACAAACGACCATAAACTAATGTGATTCATTGTTAATCCACCTTCGTCTGTGATGTAACAATATCCGGCAACTTGTGACTCTTCTTCGTCCAACAATGACTCAACAATCATTGCATGTGTCCTTGCCATTTGTGCGGATGTATATTTCGTTGCATCGAAACGTGATGCACATGAAAAGATTATTCTACGGCCTTGATCGTCACGCTCAGGTAATGGAAAGAGATATCCACTGTCAACAATTGCTTCGATTGCTGGATCGTTGATGTCGAGCTTTTGGAACCATTGTGGAAAGAGTTGACGTACTGATAAATATTTTTCGAGAAGCTCACAAGCCACAGGGACGGAAAACTTTTTGGTTCTTAGGAATCTCAAAAGGAATGGTGCATCTGAAAGGATGAAACACGTGAAATTAAATTGGAATCAAGGATGGATTCTAGCTACTAACCAGTTCTACACTTTTTGATGTGTGGATGCTTAGCAATCCACTCACGAAATTGTGCTAATGATTGGGATCTTACACTCTCATCTTCTCTCAACTCTTCCTTTGCAATATCCTTATATGTTGATGAGAGTGAACATTGATACGAGTCATACTCGCTGGGTTTGGTTTCCAAACTTGGGATTGGCAAAATTTCTGTTTCCAACATCTGCAAATAAATTACCAAAATTGGATTTAATTAATTAAAATCAAATAATGAGCTATTGCTACATTTCATGACATGTCTGCTTGTTTTAGTGAAAGTGTGAAATTTTCATGATGCTTCAGTAATTGTTTAAAGAAAGAAATAAATTGAAATTAGGAGACATAAGATTTGATGATCAGGCTGAGTTAAAATCAAGTTAAAATGATTAATTACAAGACAAAAGTCGTTTTTTAATCTGCAGAGGATTCAATTGAAATGAAGAATGACAAAACCGTAAAAATAGACGAGTTATTAATAGGACATGAAGAAACTGTTTAAACTCAATATTTATACAAATTATTAACATTTGAATAGAAAAATGACTGAATTCTATTGATCGTATACGTTTTTGTAAGCTGTATACTAGTTAATAATCCAGTCATTCAAAATTATTTATAGTTTTACCTCACAAACTTTAATTTGATCCATATTTAAAATTACTCTGTGAATAATGTTAAAGTTGTAATCTAGCTTAATGTCAATTCCAAACTAAATTTTCATTTCAATTTTTGCCGAAAAAATCCAAAAAACAAACGAACTGTTCCTCTAATTATCCACAATAATTTATCAAAAGTATTATCGTTATCTGTCACTTGAAAATTGCAAAAATATCCAGAGTTGGAGACGAACTTGATCTACAGATCGTTATGGAAGTTACAAGATACATTTTTGAGATGTTTTCAGGAATAATCCCATAAATGGTTCATGTGTTCTTAAAGCAGTTTAAAGTATTTAATCTAAAGTTTTGCTAATCTATTTCCTGTCTTAAATTTTGGAACTTAAAGATTCTGTTGATGTTTAAAAGAATGTAAATTTAATCCTAACCATCTTGTTCAGTCGGATTTACAAATTATAATTAAATATCATTGTAGCTTGATCTTGTAAGTCGTCAATTTTGAAAAACCCGAAAATAATAAAATTTCCACCAAAAAAGTATCGACATTTCTGCAATAGTTAAATGCAAGGTCAAAATCCAAACTAGACGCGGTATGAAGTGATTAATATTACGCAAACAGCTGAAAACTGATATCTTTTATCTGTTCATTAACATGCACCACTTATGTGATTTAGCTAATCGGAGCTAATCATAATTACTGAACCAGACCGGAAGATACTATGACTTATTTTGTATATTTAATCTTCTATGACTGATTTATACCCGAGTAGATCAAGTCGGATCTGATGGGATCTTTATCAATTAAATTGGTATCATCAAAATGTGTATTGCTTCTAATCTATTGATTTATGATTTCAAAGTTGGAATTGTTGTTGGGGCAAAGATGAAGCATGTATGCAGTCGGATAACCAATCCAATTGTAGAGCAAGAATTTAACATTCCTTGATTTGTGTTATTTTGGATTAAACGCTGTAAGCAGTTAAGTGCCTTGCTGGTCGAATAGGTAAGGCGCTTGGCTCAAATTGGGTATGGTAACTCGAAGGTCGTCGGTTCGAATCCAGCCATTTCCAAATTTGTTCTTTTTCAGAAGTTCAGATACTTCGACTGCGTAATGTACGAGATCAAGCCATAATTGGGCATTTTGGGCAACGTTGGATTAAGGAACGGATCAGGAACTTGAAGTGTAGCGGGAGAAAAAGAAACGAGAGCTACAAGATTACCTTATAATGGAATATTGTCAGAACGGACCTGAAATCTATCACGCCACGCCTACAGAAGATTGAAACGAGAGCCTGAATTTAATCGAAATCTAGATTTGATGATTAGAAGCTTGATTTTACGTCACCCATAGTGATATGAAATGTATCACTAATCAATGTAAAAAGTAAAACATCTATAAATACTAATTCTTCCGGACGGTATCGTCGACAAATAAATAATAATAATAAAATAATCTGTTTCAATAATATCAATCGACTCAAATGAGCCGAAATTAATTCAACGGATTCAATCTATTCGATAGGCGGTACATTGAGTACAAAAATAATTTAATGCAGATCATTATCTCAAAAAATAAGAAGATTCCTAAGCTACTTCCATTAAAATAATTGCTAATTCCGCACAAAAAATAAATCAACATCCGTTTTTGTCACAATTAAAATTAATAATTGTATTTAATACGTAATCAGAGAGTATATCATATCCATCTCTCTATAAAAGGCAGTTTTGCATGAACGATTAACATACTTAAATATTCACACAGAAAATATGAATCATTCGCATGCGTAAATTTTTTTATGTCCATGTTTGTTTTGTAACTTTTGCTTTCACAATAAAAATTCCGACTGATGCTTAATCAACGTTATCATTAACGCATTAATATGACGACGAGAGACGAGACAGAATAAAAAGAAATTTCTGCTTTTTGGGACTGAACAAAATTTCTCTGTACTTCCCTTATTTGGGTCAGTTATTGTACAAAACAAATGTGCAACAAAAATATGAAAAGAAACTTGTAAGAAATAAATGCAACATGAAGACGGGCCTCAATGACCTATTTATCGCTTCTTTTCCTCTTTCATATTCACAGATGCAACATGAAAATAAGTGAACAAAAAAAAAATGAAATTGAATGGAAGTAAAATAAGAAAGAAAGAAAAATAAGATGAAGGAGTGGAGAAAGTTGGTTTGCACTTTTAAAATTTTGTAAAAAATAAATTTGAATTTTAAGAACGGGAAATTATATTCAGTAGTCTCATTTTAGGGAGAGAAGAGTTGTCATCTCTTCTGTCTGGCTTCATATTGAATAAGCTAAGTGGCTTAGGGGCCGTTCAATTATTACGTTACGCAAAAAAACTACTTTTTTCACCCCCCCCCTCCCCCCCTTGTTACAATATGTTACAATTTACAAGCCCCCCCCCCCCCCGAACGTTCATAATTTATTTTATTTTGATAAAAAGGTGGAAATTTTAAAAAAATGTTTATGGTGTGAATTTGTAAACAAATTTTTTTCGTGAACTTTTTTTTAAAAGACAGACGACAGTTAGAACGTTACATACTTCTTGACACCCCCCCCCCCATGTTACATTTTGTTACAATTTTTCAACCCCCCCCCCTCCCCCTTAAATGCGAACGTAATAAGTGAACGGCCCCTTAATAACTTAATGATCGAAAGTAAGTTGATCAGTTCCTTACAACAATTAACATTTAAAATCGAAGGACCACACAATGCAATAGATTTTCGAATTGTAGAAATCCAAGATATCCCCAGAAATCCGAATTTACAAATCAATATAAGAAACCCACACACAAAATAAAGTAACTTTCAAAAATTATTAGAAATCAATGCTAAAGCACTTATTCTCACATGACTAATATTTTTTAAGGAAGTGATATTCTTTAGAATTAATAAACAGCAGAAGATGAAGACAGAATAAAATCCATTACCGTACAGAAGGACTAGTGAGAGGCAAGCAAATTGATTTTCAGCAATAATTTAACTATCAAAATACCGGTGCTTAAAATGATTTGCAGAATTTAATATTCACGGTTCATAAAACTAAATTTGATAGAAATCATGAAATTAAAATAATTAAGCACGTTTGTACCGTTTGATTTCTGGCATTCACTTTTATTCTAGTCAATAAATTAATGTTTAACATTTAGACCATGAATTAAGTAATTGATTATTATTGATCTGGATTCTTTTGTGTCTAATTTGCGGAAATAAATTTAATTAATTGATGTTAAAATGCGATTAATTTTATGATTTTATAGGATTTACATAAAAATTTATTGATCTTGAATTTAATTTATCCTCAATAGTGTAAAGATTCGAAATAAATGTACTGGAAGTCTCCTTTTGTATTCTTAGAGTACAGACAAAAATATATTTGAATCCAGTGGTTCTGGATTTTAGCAAATGATTCAGTTTTAATTAAGTTTTGAAATCTTAATAATCAAATTTTCGCACCAAGAATACAGCAAGTCAATAAAATATTGAAGCACATTCTTTTTTTCCATAAAAATTTACTTTCCCTTCAAGAGCACATTAAGAAAGTTTACAGACCATCGACGACAGAGAAATTGAAAGAATTAAGAAAAGAAAAAGATTTTCACTCTAAAAACTTGCACTTTAAAAAGTTCATGCTCTACAAAATTGGATATTGAAGTTTCATTTTAATAATTACTATGTCACTAATAGCAACAGCATTTAAGTCTTTTTCGGCTTTCTCTCTCTACCTCATTAACATATCAGATGATGTAAAAAGCCATGTCTTATGTAATTTTTGACCGTAGCGCGTAAAGGGATTTCTTTACAAAGAAAATTTTCACAGTTTATTCAGCTTTGTGTGCTTTATTAGCAAATATTGAGGATTATCGTCATTAAAATGAGTCTTTTTGAGCAGTTTCGTTTTACTGAATAATTATTTTGAGTTTGAATAACATTTTAGATTTGTTTGGAATTTAATGTTTAAATTGAAACTTTACTGGAAGTTGTCTGGATGTTTATTCACAATTCAATTAAATTCAACAAAACCTTTCCAATTCATCTTTTGCAAGAAAATAAATGTTAAAATATCTATCAAGTCATTCCATAAACAGCATTCCAATTGCTTTCAATTTCTCTTGCATCTCTAATATTTTTTCAATTTAATACATATAAACAATTAAGCACCAATTTACCCAAACTTTCTACAAAATTATCCATTAAATTGCTTCAATCACGATGATCGAAATTTTATTTACCACTAAATTCAAATTTCTACTTCTTCAAAAAAAGGTTTCATGCTAAATTAACTCCAATTGCTGATATTTAATTAAGATCATGTATCATGCTCCAGAAGAAATTTCTGCCAATTTTCTTTCTATCAATTATCTTCATTCTTGCTTAAAAATGAAAATTTTCAGAAGCGCAAAAAATTGATGTTACAAATACCGCTTATGACCTCAAATTCCCAAAATGATCGAAAAAGAAGTACATATTTGGATCACGGCATAAATAAAGACTTCTTTGTCATCGATGTGTTGAAAATATTTTTTGGGGTAGTCCAATAGTAAGCTTGTTATCCTTGTCGACATTTATGCTTATTTGCATAATTTTCGCAATACTTGAAATGTCTCGTGAGTCAGATATGAGTCGCTGTGTGTCAATTTTATGACATTGATCTTCAAAAGCTGGTGATTTCATAAAATTCACGTCCCAAATTTAGGACACTTGAATGGACAAATAGCATCTTAAATGACATCATTAGTGCTGAGATAAAATAAGGTAGCTAAGACAGAGTTATAAGTCTTGAATAACCTAGTCTGTTTGCACTTTTTTGACCAGATTCAGATAAATGAAAGAAGACCCAAAATTTCAATGCCATGCCAAACTGAACCGTAACAAAATTCACGATACACACCCCCATATACTCAAGATACACAATCCAGATCAAATCACAAACATCATGTCACTGAACTTAAAAGAAATGAAATTCTTAAAAGAAATGGTGATAGACGAGTTGATCTCATAAAAAGTTAATGAACTTCATTCACTTCCACTTTCACTACGAGCACATATTGCTTTTAATAAGCAAGAAAAGAAACAGACCAATCCATATACGTAAATGGAAATATTGCAACTCACTTTCTAAATAAAATGTAATTCCTTTACGTGCACAAGAGGGAACAATTTAAAAAAAAATAAAATAATAAAAATTTTAAGGTAAGGTTTCCACAGAAAGCTTTTTGAATTGGCTTGCGAGCTCAGCGGCTGCTCAAAGACAACTGAAAATACTTTATGATGAGAGAAATGCTTATATGTTAGCACTGCTGAAGAAAAACAATTCGGTGCTACCGATCGTTGCGCGTTGAAAAAAAATACGAGCGAGAAGAAGAAAATGAGTGAAAAAAGTTTGTTGAATCATTTTCGCGTACCTTAATGCAAAGTGACTGCAAATTTGTTCTAAATAGTCAATTTTGCTCTAAGAAGGTTGATTTTTTTTTTGTCATGGTAATGTATAACAGGTTTAAATGTGGCATAAAAACATCTTGCTGATGTCAAAACTAGTTTCATTTTGCAGCACGAGATTATTCAAGAAAAAGACGTTGAAAATTTAAATTTCCGGCTGTCATTTTAAATTTTTTCGTTAAAAGATCTTTCGTTAAGTTTTTAAAATCTCAAAAATCGTTTTAAATTTGAAATATTTATGACTGTTAAGAAAATCATAACAACTAATTCGCAAAATGCAGCTTTATCTACCATAACCAGTGACAATCCATAATTTCTCTCGCTCTCATGCATTTCTTCATCTCTTCTTCATAATATTCATGCTTTCTCTTTGATAACGTCACGTGCAAGTAACATGACCTAATAATTGCAATTCCCTTTTGTGCCTCTCATTCTCTCTTCTTTACGTTTCGCGACATACGCAACTGAGCCAACAATAAAAAAATTATGTGTACACAAAGCATGGATGGATATAAAATATTTTATTTACGCTAAGATTATTCACCGCATAATTTTATGTAATCAACAGCTACTTTATTCCATATGATTGAGAGTCAATTACATTACAATTATTAAGTTGCTTTTACTATTCATTGTATCACGCACAGTTCCATTCTTCTTTCTTTGACTTTCTTGACTATTTTGGTGAAATTTAATTTTTGTGCAATTTAAAATCATCAGATTGTATTATGAGGAAGCTATGGGGTCTGAAGAAAGCAATTTATAAATGTCTAAGAGGAAAGTTATTCAATCTTGATGCAGCTACCAGTTTAGACTCTAACCTTTAGAGACATTACTTATTTCAATAAAGTCCCCAAAAGAATAATTAAACTGTAAATTAATAACCATAATTACATGAAAATCAAGTCTAAGAATAGTGCAACACGTATAAAAAATTAATATAATTTGTTCCGCAAACATCAACACATGTTATTAGAAGAAGCTACCATTTCCCAACTTATTGTTTAAATATTTTAAGTCATTTATTTGCAGAAGATTTGTATATGAATTATTATTGCAGCGACATCGAAAATTGTTGCCAAACCAATTACCTTGGCTTCCTTTAGTCATCGAGTTTCGCGTTAATTACTTCCATTTAAATCATCAATCGTAAAATTACATTTTACATTTTAATCACGTGTTATTATTTTAACGGTTTTTAAAAATTCAAATTATTTATTGTAAGGTTTTCAAAATAAATAAATAAATCAACAATTTTAATTAAATTAAGAATAAAATGGATGCAGCACTGCTTAGAGAACGTGAATTATTCAAAAAGAGAGCTTTAGCAACTCCGACGTAAGTACATCATGAATGCAGCTATTGAAAGTACCTATAAATAACAAAAATTCATCATTTAATTTAGCGTTGAGAAAAAACCACAAAAGGATCCACCAAAATCAGCATCGACTGGTGCTAAAAAGCCTTTACAGCCATGGGAATCAAAGCCTGCAGCTCCAAAGGAGCCAATGAACTACAAAACAATGACTGGAAGTTCCAACAAAAGATTTGCAATCCTCACAAAAATCGTGAACCATATGAAGGATCGACATTTACAAGGTGAAGACCATCCAATTTCTGTCGAAGAGATTCTAGACGAAACAAATCAATTAGATATTGGTTCATCAAATAAAAATGTAAGAATTGCTATATAAGCTTACCTTTCACAAAAATATATCGATATACTTACTTCCAGTGGCTTATCACAGAGGCATTACCAAATAATCCAAAATTAGAGCAACCAGCTCACGGACGATATCAGTTTAAGCCTTTATTTAAAGTAAGAGATGGTAAAAGTTTATTGAGATTATTAAAACAACATGATCTGAAAGGTCTCGGTGGAATCTTACTTGATGATGTACAAGAATCCCTTCCAAATTGTGATAAAGTATTAAAAGCTCGTGCTCAAGATATCCTCTTCATAACACGTCCCATTGACAAGAAGAAAATCTTATTTTATAATGATAAGACAGCAAATTTCGCAGTCGACGATGAATTCCAGAAACTTTGGCGAGCAGTGACTGTTGATGCGATGGATGATAATAAAATTGAAGAGTATCTCGAGAAGCAGGGTATTAGATCTATGCAAGATCACGGAATTAGAAAGCCAATGGCAGCAAAACGAAAGAAGGCAGCACTCAAGAAGAGGCAATTCAAACGTCCTCGTGACAATGAGCATCTTGCAGACATCCTTGAGACTTACGAAGATAACACGATTACACAGAAAGGAGATTTACAGGCCAATACAAATGTCAAATAGATATTAATGTTAATTAATTTAATCTTAATCATGAATCAGAATAAAAAGAGAATTATTTTTCACATAAGTTAACAACCACCTGCTTGCCAATAATCAGTGTCTGTAAACAATAACAAAAAATCTATTCTGCAGTCACAGAGTTTGTCCGAAAAAGAAGAATTTTAAAATTTACAGTATCAAACAAGTTTACTGATGTGATTGTTGGTCTTAGGTTCTTAATTCTTTTTTGACATTTTGTTGCTTTTTCCTTTCTTCGGACATTAAAGCATACTTGGAGAGACAAAAAGTTATAAAATGAAATGTCGAATTCAAACTCTGAATTAGTTCTCTCGTGATACTTGTTGTGAGAAGTAATCAATTAATGAATAGGGTACGGCTGGCTTGACATATTTAACAAGTTCCAGCAAAAATTATTACGTACACGAGTGAAAGTTGAATTATTAGTATTAATACTAGCGTGCCTTAAATTAATCAAAAGCAGACGAAAAAAAAGGTGAGAAAAGTTGCTAATTTTCCGACGCCTTCAAGGTCAATAAATTTAAGATTTACAATGCTCAACCTTTGCTTCCTTTCAACAGAATAAAACAGCTCCAATAACTGACCATGTCTCGATTCCTTCTATTGTTTGGCTTCGCACTCAATGCACTTATCGGATTATCTCTGGCAAATGAGTAAGTTGGCAGAGAACTTTCTATTGTTTCAATGTATTGCTCCATATATTTTATTATGTGCAGTAAATTTGCAGTACGGGGATTGTTACGTCAATTGTGTAAGCATTCATTCATTCTCTCAGCCTCCATTATGAAAGCAACCGATTGTTTGATCTAGTCGCGTGCTAAAAACTGTTTTGAGTCATGCTTTACTATTTAGGAAGTTCAAGCACCGGAACTAGAAGTTTTAGGTATTGCGGTGCTCATAATTAAAGTTTCTAGTTGGGGAAATTAAATATGTTGCTTATATTCTACAGAAATTCTGTCTATTTGGAATTTAAATTTTTATATTAATTCATATGCATGCATCACCATTCATCACTTGATTGTAAAACTCGTATCTTACTATCCAATTCATGACTGCTTCTAGAATTTTTCGAATTGAAGCTTCATTTATGAGATATTGTAATTGAAAATCGTTGGCGTCAAATTAAGAAAATCTTGTCTGGATGTTGACAAAAAAAGTTCCACTAGCTTAATTTCATGTCATCAATCAAAATAATCTGCATTCTATACCTTAAAAAGCAATAAATTTGCTAAAATAATTTATCCAAGAAAATATTGACATAACTTATGAACAAACATTTGCATTGGCTTGAAATCATTGCTCATGTCCTGCAATCTTTAAGTCTATAAATATGTCCATTAAACAATACAAATAGACGTCGGTTTGAATGTGCGACTACATTTCTAAAATTCAGTCTTAACGGGTATTCGATTACAATCACATCGTCGTGTCGTTGTCATTAGCCAGACGGGAACCAGTTCTTTGAATAATTATTAAATCTTTTTAATAACAAAAAAATAAAAGGCAGTAAGAAGCTACATGTGATTTTTTTTGGGAGCCAATGAACTCTACTCGATCTGTGATGCAATTTGAAAGAACTTTGTGCTGCATTTTTATTTGTGTCCAAAATCTTAATTTAAGGAACTTTATTGTATAAGCAACTGCTTGTGTCTTTTATCATAAATGTTAATGTGATATCTCTAGCATGTAGTACGGAAAATTAAATCAAAAAACATTAATAGTGCCTTTATAATCTGCAATGGACGAAGGAAAAAAGTTATTCAAATGTCTATACTTTATAGGCATACTGACATTGCTAATTGGCTTAATAGCATTAATTGTAGTGTTGGTTGTGTTTTTAAAGCCACATATATCAAATCAATGGGATTATGAGGATTTAAGGTAAAATTGGAAAGGGGCCATTCACTTATTACGTAACGCTTTTAGGGGGAGGGGGGGGGTCTAAGATTTTGTTACGGTTCAAACAAGGAAATTTTTTTTTCATACAAATTTTGTTACGAGGGGGGGGGGGGGGGGGGTCTAAGAAGTCATTTTTTCGCGTTACGTAATAAGTGAACAGCCCCAAATGGATATTGTAACAATCTCAACTGTACTTTGAATACGTGAACCTAAAATCTCGTACGCAAAATTTCAAATTTACTTGTTTTAATCCAGTTCATTTAAATTAATCCCAAGCATTAATCCCACTTTTTGACTAATTTAACAGACCAGCATGGGGCTACAGATGCGAACACAGCAACTGCAAGAAAGTGGAACTCACAGAAGAGAACAAGAAGACAGCTGTAAGTTTATCAGTTTGTCGTTTGTTCTGCGATGAAGTATATGGAACTTTATGGCCAAAACCGACAGGAGAAATTGCACCATCAAATGAAGTCGTCAAGATAAATCTTCATGACATTACATTCAAGACAAATAATTTTAAATTATATCCAGCATATTGGGCAATGGCAACAGACAGATTCTTGGAAATGCAAAAGAAGAAATTTCCAACAAAATATTCAGTTAAATCGGGTGGAAATCCATTAGTTATTGAAGTGCTTGTCGATTCCGATGATATGACATTTAATTTGGATACTTATGAAGGATATAAGCTTAAAATAGTCGATCAAGATGGTGTTCATGCAATAGTTACTGCTAAGAACTTCTATGGTGCTCGTAATGCTCTCGAATCTCTCTCACAATTGATTGTCTACGATAATATAAGGAACGAAATTGTTATTGTCAGTTCCACAGAGTTTTCTGATGAACCAAAGTTTAAGTATCGTGCCATTCTTCTTGACACATCGAGGAACTACTTCTCAATTGAAGCAATTAAGAGAACAATTGAAGGAATGGCAATGGTCAAGCTTAATACTTTTCACTGGCACATAACTGATTCACAAAGCTTCCCAATGGTCGTTAAATCACATCCCGATCTATCAAAACTCGGTGCTTATTCTCCTGACAAAATTTACACCGCTGAAGACATTAAGGATGTTGTGAGGTTCGCTAAAGCACGAGGAATTCGTGTCTTGCCTGAATTTGATGCACCAGCTCATGTTGGTGAAGGATGGCAAAAGAAGGGATTAACAACATGCTTTAATGCACAACCTTGGAAAGATTTTTGTGTTGAAGCACCATGCGGTCAGTTAGCAGTCCACAAAGATGAGCTTTATGATGTTCTTGAAGACATTTATCGTGAAATGGTCGAGAACTTTGAATATCCTGACTTATTTCATATGGGCGGTGATGAGGTTTCTGTCTCATGCTGGAATTCAAGTGCTGATCTGCAAAAATGGATGCTTAATAAAAATTGGGGACTGACTGATAAAGATTTTATGAGATTATGGGGACATTTCCAAAGTAATGCAATTTCAAGACTTGATAAAGTCAACATCAACAAGACTCAAGTGATTTTATGGACAAGTCATTTGACAGAGGAACCGTTCCTTTCACAATATCTCAATAATGAACGATACATCATCCAAATTTGGACAACTGGCGATGATCCTAAAGTAAAGACAATTCTCGAGAAAGGATACAAGATGATTGTGTCAAACTATGATGCTCTTTATTTCGATTGTGGATTTGGTGCTTGGGTAACTGACGGAAATAACTGGTGCTCACCATACATTGGCTGGCAAAAAGTTTACGACAATAGAATGGAAAATATTGCTGGAAATTATGTAAATCAAGTTTATGGTGCAGCAGCAGCACTTTGGAGTGAACAGGTTGATGAGTTTGCATTAGATGCTAAATTGTGGCCCAGAGCATCAGCTTTGGCTGAACGATTGTGGTCAGGTGAGTAAATTTTAGCTTTAATCCTGCAGGATTTAAGATAAATCTCTTACTTAATCTTTAGATTAATTTTTTAAATCCTCAACTTCTTGCTAATTAATTAAATACATCCACAGATCCTGAAGGTGGCTGGAAATCAGCAGAATCTCGAATGCTTGTCAATCGTAGGAGATTAGTTGATATTGCTGGAATTGCCGCTGAAAGACTTCAACCTGAATGGTGCTTACAGAATGAAGGTGACTGCCCAATTTAAGGATATCGTCGTTCTCACTAGCCACACTTTTTAAGCATACATCATTTGAGAGATTTTAAATGAGATTTTTCGTGTTTTTATAAGACATAAGTTTTTTTAAGCAATAAAGTTGAATATTTGAAAAATATGGGAATTGAATTTAACAGTAGTAATCTACTGACAATTAAATAGCTTTATTTTATTTCCAGTCTTAAAAGTAATGTCCTTGACAAGAGAAAATAAAATATTCTCATTCTGTGCAAAACTATGGATTTCCTCTCTTATGAACGTCTTTTCATCCTCAGCAAACTCTGTCAGCTTCCAAAATATTGATGCATGAAATATCCGGTTCTCATAATACATCGGTAGTTCAAATTCCTTCAACGACTTGTCTGTCGATTCTATTAATGGCTCTAAGTGATCTTCACAGCTTTTGTCAACTAGTATGCAGGCAAAATGCCTTGATTTGTCTTCATTTGATAAGAAAACTATTTCTGATACTGAAAATTTCAGTTTAAAGGTACTAAACTTCAAGTTCTGTCCAATAACTTTGCTTAAGTTCTCAATCCAATGATATTTAATGATGAAATTTTTGGACAGACTTACATGTGGAGTGTCTATGATTTTAATATCTTCATATTTCTCAGTAATTCTATTAATATAATCACTGAGTACATCCTTAAAGTATGAACAATCTATAAATACATGACACGACCAATTTCCAGCTATGTGAGGTATTTGACGTTTCCTGCCATCATGATCTGTTGGATCGTCAACTTGATTATTTTTACACGGTTCAAATGGAATTGGAAGCTTGACTTTTTTACGAACAGGCTGAATGACTTCATTTTCATCTTCAGAGGAACTTGAGCTATAGTTAACAAGTTTATTCATTATAGATCAAGCACATCGTCCAACCACTTTTCCATAGATTCCTTGTTATCACTTGATTCAGGCTGTTGTTCGACTTTCTTTTTATCTCCTTTTTGTGGACTGATCTTTAGTTCCTTAATATTTTTTGTGATCTTTTCAGGTGAGCTGATTTCTTCAGTCGCTGGATTCAAAATGCTAGCTAATAATGTCTTATAAGTTTCCTCATTCGTTTTAGACACTTCATTCATAGAGTCAATTTCATCCTGTGACCAATTGATGCCTTCAATGCCGTGTATCTCGTGAAATGGAATCGACTTAACTGCGCTATTCAGTAAATTGATGTCTATATTAAAATATTTTGATGTATTTATTACACTTTCAGTTTCAAACTTTTCCTGATCAGATTTCAGTATCAAGTGACTTGTACTGGATGAGTGTAAATTTAGTAAATAGCTAAAATCTGGAAGTTCCTCGTCTTCATCTGAATTTATCTCAAATCTGTCATTTATAGGCTCTTCTTGTTGAAACTCGTTCTCCTTCTTATAGTATCCTTTCTTCGGCTTCTTATTATTCCTTAAAATATGTTAATAAGTATGTAATTTATGGTGAATTAATTAAATTAAGATTGGACTTACTTTTTGTTTTGACTCATTCTTAAAATTTCGTAGTTTCGTACCCTTCTTGTTTACATTAGTGAAAACTATTAAAAAATTGAAATTAATTGGAATTTAAATAATTTAAGCGATGCGGCTCACTAGATTACTGTTTGTGCAATTTCGTAGAGGTAATAAGACAGCTAGGGCACCTCAGGATTTAAAGAAACTTCCATTCAAATCAATATTACCATTAAATTTGAGAGAAAGAGGTTGGTTCAACTAATTTTTACATAAAAAGCATAATTAACAGCATTAATCAAAATGATTATCATTAGTTTCAGGCAAAGTTGATTCAGTGGAACAAGTGCCATGTTTGCATGAGCTTAGTGTTCTGTTTGCAGCTATGAAGGATCATGAATTTGATGAAAAGCTCTGTAAAAAGGAAATTGAAAAATTACAGAAAGCCCACGAAATATCCGAAAAAATGCAGAAGGAAGAGAAATTAAGGAACTCTGGAGAGTCTGTGTCTACAGGAAGAAAGTTGACATCAATACAACTTAATAAATATTTGAAAAGATTTCCATTGAAAGTTTCTTCTTAAGAATCACAATGTAGGACATAGATTAAGAACATTAAAATATGATTTAGATGAACTAAAATTGTGTCTTTAATTCCCTTTTATCTTCCAGAAATGTCAAATCTTTAAATTTCATTCCTAAGAAAAATTCAAAAAATAACAGTTTTCAAAATTTCAAATTCTTGTCAACAGTTGGCGCGAAACAGTTGTTTTTGTTAAATACTTTAAAATGTTTTTTAAGCGATCAATTAAGAGATTTGCCCATGTTAATGGCTTTACATTTGTCACATATTCATTAAATGGAGAGTAAGTATTCAAGATCACTGAAAATAACACGAATTTAGACTTAAAAACTGAATAAAATTTTCACAGAATAATAACAAGCGGAACCGACGGAGATCTACGAATTTGGAAGGAGATTAGCGATGACGATCCATCAAGTCAATGTGTTGGAGAGAATGGAAACTGCTGTGTACAATTTAAAACCGATAATAATGAGATGCGTCTATTAGCAACATCAGATAACAATGTTCAAGCCTACAAGTATCCTGAATTCGATCGTGAAGGGATGGAACTCAGATTCAATGGTTTAGTTACATCAATTAAAGTTAATAAGATATGGATAGTCGCTGGATCTGAAGATCATACAATTAAGGCACGAAAATTCAGTGATCCAGATACAACCATCGAACTTAAAGGACATACTGGACCAATATTCCAGATTGCTATAAACGACAAAAATCACATCGCTTCAAGTTCAGGCGATGGAACTATCAAAGTATGGAATTTAGAGACACAGCAAGTTGTAAAGACATATGATGGATTCGAAAAGTTTGACAAGTTTAATAAGTCTAAGAACTTCTGTACGCCAGCTTTTGAAAAGACTGGTCGGTACCTCGCATTTTCTAAAGGATCTATAGTAAACGTTGTAGAGACATCAAGTTGGGACATTAAGTTTAAGTTGGAAAATAATGAGATTAAAAATACGTACACAGCATGCAGTTTTTCACATTGTGGATCATATTTAGCTGCTGGAACTTCCAATGGTGAAATTTCAGTTTGGAATCTCACTGATAATTCAAAAATTAAGGGAGAAGTTTTTGGCGAGGAAACTCATCCAATTACATCCATCGAATGGAATCCAAAGAATATTAAGGAATTCGCATTTTGTGATTCTGATGGACAATTAAGTACCATAAAAATAAGAGCTAATAAGAACGACGATGAAGATGCTGACATATTAATGGAAAATGGAGATGAAGTAGTACGAGATCCTGACGATATATATGATGCAATTGATTTTCGTGATGATGACGACGAAGATAATGAAAATTGCGTAGCATTAGAAAAGTTAAAAAATGAGACCATGAAAACAGGAGCTGATTCAGACTCAGAAGATGAAGATTCCAAAACTGTTAAAAGTCAGCAAATGAGTGAAACTGGCTCTGTTCGTGCTGTTAAACCATTCTTATTACAGCCACCATTTCAGCCAGGCGCAACACCACAACATTTAGAACATCGTTTTATGGTTTGGAATCATGTTGGTCAAGTACAATGTCACTCAACAAGCGATGAGAACTCAATTATTGCTGAATTTCATGATACAACTTTACATCCAAGCTTACACATCCTTAATACATTAGATCATCAAATGGCAAGCTTAAGTACATCAAGTTTGGCACTGGCAACAAAAGAAACGCCTTGCAAGCTTGTATGTATTGCTTTATTATCGTCAGGAAATAAGGAATGGTCAACAACAATGCCAGAATGTGAGGAAATTCAAGGAATCGCAGCTGGAAAGTCATTTATTGCTGTTGCCACAGATGCTGGTTATTTGAGAATTTTCACAACAATGGGAACTCAAAGAGAAGTTTTAATGGTTCCCGGACCAGTTGTTTGTATGTCTGCATATGACAATAAACTTGTTGTGGCTTATCATACGTCAAATACATGTAATAAATACTCGATTATGATCATTAACATTCTTGGATTGGCAGTATCAAATCGTACAGTGGAAATTCCATTTGCTCAAAATATGAGATTGAATTGGCTAGGATTCTCAGACGTAGGCTCAATTATTGCATTTGAGTCATCGGGACGCGTCATAAGCTACAACATAAAGAAGAACTTATGGATGCCAATTTGTAACCTGGAAAATCACCTTATTGGAGCTTCAGATACATTCTTCATGATAAGTGTCTCAGAAAGCACGCAAAAAATCCGTGCTACTTTATGTCGTGGAACTCACTATCCTTTAACTAATCCACGACCAATTTTACGTGAAATCGATTATTCCTTGCCATTATGCTCTATTGAAACTGAAAAGAGTAAGATTGAAGAATGTTTGGTCCGGTCTGTTAACTTTGAAATGGAATCATCATCTAAAGCTCTCGTTGAAAATGGATTAAAACTTTTCTCAACAGCTTTAAATTCAGAACTTGAATCTCGAGCTTTTGAAATTGTCGAATTAATCAGTGACAAAAAGTTGATTGAATTAGCATCTAGATATGCTAGTCAAAAAGGAAGAATGCACATGTCGAACAAGATCTCTAAACTGTTGAATGACTTTGAGGAAAAGGTAAGATCGCAAGCTTGATTATTAATCTGCAATCGTGGATTACTTTTTAATCCAACTGGTTTACCACTAATTTTTAATCTACACAGGAAATGGAAAAGAAGTCCATGATTGAAGGATACGATAAAGAAGTCAAATCATTCACAGAAGCTTATGAAGTTGAGGAACAAAAACCTAGTGAAGCTCGAAAGATTGAAACATCCACACCTTTGATAGCGCCACGTCCGATGATCAGTCAGAGAAAAGCAAATCCTTTTAAAAAGTCGAGTAACAATTCAAGTCTCGGTGCTAAAGCACTTAATCATTTAACAAAGAAATCCATTGGATATAATGAAAGTGTCACTAATTCTGATGATGAAAATACACCGACAAATAATATGTCGTTAAAGAACAACCGCTCAGTTTCTTTGGATACGCCACGACCGGGTAATTTCAGTCAATGGTTTATTGCCAACAAGGAGGATCTTAAAGTTGATAATCCCAATAGTACTGATGCTGAATTATTCAAAATTGCCAAGAACGTATACAAGGAATTGACACAAAAGACAAAAGCTTCAGTAGAGGAATTAGATACACCTCCGTCAGCTCCAATCAATAAGAGAAAGTTAGAACTGAATGAAGACTCTGGAAGCACTGCAAAGTTGGCAAAATATGGGTACACTGAGTAAATTCATTATTTTTATGTTAAGCCTTAAGTATTACAAGAAGCAAAAATAAAATTTTTCATGTCCACAAAAAATAATCCTTTTGTAGCTGCATAACTTATTTTTGACAAGCATAATCGCATTTATTGCCAAAATTTAATTTAACTGCTAAAATTTTTGGTATATAAACTATGGTCGGTTCCTCAGTAATTTCGAGTTATTGTTTAGTTCTCAACAGCATTATCTGAAGTAGTTCGTTCTTTAAACGATTTTCTTCGATATTGACAGTTCAAGTTTTGACTATAAAAAGTGCATTAAAAGCAAGCAACATGGTGCAATATAATCCACAAAACTTTCAAGGATCAGGAGTCAACAACATGGGAAACATGACTGTTGCTGACATGGTTCCACAAGAAATGTTGTATTTGGTGGACACTTATTGGTTCCAATATCCACCAATGAATCCACTTTGGCACAGTCTTCTTGGTTTTGCTCTCATCATCTTCTGTACTATCGCATTTTTGGGAAACCTTTGTGTCATATACATCTTCTCAAAGACTAAATCACTTAGAAGTCCATCAAATCTCTTGGTTGTCAATTTGGCTGTTTCTGACTTCATGATTATGTTTACAATGGTAAGAATTCTTAGATGTGCTTCAAACTTTATGACTAATGAATGGAAATTCTTATATAGGGACCAGCTATGATCGTAAACTGCTACTACGAGGTAAGTTAATTTGGATCTAGAAGATTTAAATCTGATGATTAAATTAAGTCCGGAAATTTTAAATCCAACAAAATTAAATCTAATAATGATGTCAAACTCTTTCAGACATGGGTATTTGGTCCATTAGCTTGTCAAATTGTAAGTACATCTTCAAAAGTTCCTCATGCTTCACATAACAATAAATCTCTTTCAAATTATTAGTACGGAATGTGCGGATCTCTTTTTGGCTGTATCTCCATTTGGACAATGACAATGATTGCATTCGACAGATACAATGTCATCGTTAAAGGTATTACTGGCAAGCCACTGACTCATGGTGGAGCAATCCTTAGAATATTCTTCGTCTGGGCTGCATCCCTTTTATGGACATTGTTGCCACTTTTCGGATGGAATAGATACACACCCGAGGGAAATATGACTGCATGCGGTACTGACTATTTGACACCAGGATGGACTAGTCGCAGTTATGTCTTAGTTTATGGAATCTGGGTCTATTTCCTTCCACTTCTGTTAATCATCTACTCATATTACTTTATCATGCAAGCCGTAACTGCACATGAGAAGAACATGCGAGAACAGGCTAAAAAGATGAATGTTGCATCCTTGAGATCATCAGAAAATCAAGCACAGAGTGTTGAATGCAAATTAGCCAAAATAGCCTTAATGACAATCTCATTGTGGTTTATGGCTTGGACACCATATTTAGTCATCAACTTTGCATCAATCTTCGATATGGCAAAAATAACTCCTTTGGGTTCAATCTGGGGCTCAGTTTTCGCTAAAGCGAACTCTATTTATAATCCAGTAGTCTACGGTATCAGCCATCCTAAATATCGTGCTGCTCTCATCAAGACATTCCCATCGTTGGCATGCGGTGGAAAGGATGACTTATCTGACGCCCAATCATCTGGTACAGCTTTGTCAACTGTTTCTGAAGAGAAACCAGTAGCATAATTTCGACTAGATTATGACGACCACAGCTTGTTAATGGAAAAATGGCTGGAAACTTACTAATATTAATTAATCATAGAATTTAAAAATGGCAAAGCATTGAATAAAAAAAGCAAAAAAAAAAATTATAAATCAAAGTCGAAAGTCATTGAATCTGATGTTATAACTTAACAATATTCAATAATTTAAATGCCCATATTTATGATGACCGTTCAAAACACCTAAAGTTTTTTACCTCTAAACATTTCAAATTTATAAAACCTAAATTTTCTGCATCTAGAGTTTTTAATCTCTATATACATTTGTATATGGGTGTTAAAAACTGCACGTGCAGTTTTTTACTTCTAATGATTTTTCCATTAGAAGTAAAAAACTACACGTGTAGTTTATAACTTCTATATACATTTATATATAGAGATTAAAAACTCGAATTGCAGAAAATTAATCCTCGGATTCAACTTTAAGCTTTTTGCTGGGTTAACCAATTTTGATCATTTAAACGGTTTTGAGTATGTTATTGACAAGACTAATAACATAAATGGACAATTGTATCGATTGACGTTTTACTTATGTATGACGATAAATTATTTCCTTTTGTTGCGGTTGGTTCTTTCTACATGCTTTAAATTACAAAATATTTGACTTCTTGTGAGCGTCGCACTTGTACAGAATGCAAAATTTTAAACTTTTACCAAAGGTTTTCTACTTTCTAAACGTCTAGACAACTTCAAACTACTGATTTACAGTTTGTTACATATTTGTTGTTTTATTATTGTGCATACTTAATTTACGTTGTAAATCACTTATTGAGTACAAAAATGAAGAACTTTAATTCAATTTCTGTACAAGTGCAACGCAAAAACGTTTATTTTCCTAATCCATTAAAAAATTATTTTAAAAAAATAAAATTTTACTTAAATTAACAACATATTATTTGATTAGAATGTTGTTTATGAAAAAATAATAGTAAATGAATATGTTAAGCTGGTTTTCGTAAAGCATAAGTTTAGTTAAATTAAAGTATTCAAAAATTTTATAATTTCAAGTTCAAAAAGAATTATAATTTGATTAGAACTCATTTTTACCGCGTTTTTCTTAACTTGCTTTCTTTTCTGTCTGTTTATCTGTCTATATGTCGAGGTCATATCTTGCGATCGAGTTTTGCACCACTTCTACTGCTCCAATACAATATTAATATAATAAATGAAATTGAAGCTCTCAAATATTGCGAAATATTTTATGAATGCGCCCATTTTTTAAGATGTAGATTTTTACCCAAAATCTTTTGGATTTCTTACAGAAAACAATATTTAACACAAAATAAATGTGCATTCTTTGTTTTAAACTGTTTATGGATTCACCATTTTATCTAATTTTGAAAAAAATTCGTGTTTTGCTTTTCAAATATTTTTCTTCAAAATGTAAACAAACATAAGGAAGGAAAAAATTATTTTTAGAAATTCCAGAATCAAGTACACTAAATGCTATTTTTATGAATATCATAATGTTTTCTGACCAAAAACGAGGGTGAAATTATTAAAGTATCACATTATTTAAAAGCAATATGACTTAAAATCAAATAACGTTTTTCCTGAATTTAAAATTTCCCACCCGAAATAAAAAAATTCAAATTCAAATCTTTTAAGTTTCAACTGATTTTTTAAGCTCTTTGCCGACCACAGGATTTTTTAATTTCAAATGAAAAACACGTGATGAGTGAGTTCAGAAATTCGAATTTATTTCTATCGTTATAAAATTTGTAGTGTTCGAAATCTTACCAAAATACTCGTCAGAAAAATTTTCTCAAAGAAAACTTGATTTGAAATCTCGCGACATTGATTGTCATCAGTGTCTTTACATCTACAAAATCACTCCGAACACCTTCCAACTTACTTGTTGTCAATTTGGCATTCTCAGACTTTCACCAATGGTAATGTGCTGTTATCATGAGACATGGATTTATGGACCATTAGCTTGTGAATTATATGCTGCTGCTGGATCTCTATTTGGATGTGTTTCGATTTGGACAATGACATTAATCGCCTTTGATCGCTATAATGTAATTGTAAAGGGTAATGCTTTAATGCGAATAATGACTGTATGGACTTTCGCGTTGATCTGGACTATTGCACCATTCTTTGGCTGGTGTAGATATGTCCCAGAAGGTAACAAAACTGCTTGTGGAACTGATTATTTGTCACAAGACTGGGGAAATCGATCATACATCATTATTTACTCAATCTTCGTATACTGGACACCATTGTTGATGATTATCTACTCATACTTCTTCATCTTGCAAGCCGTATCTGCTCACGAGAAGAATATGAGAGATCAAGCTAAAAAAATGAATGTTGAATCATTGAGATCATCAGAAAATGCAAACCAAAGCGCCGAATGTAAATTAGCTAAAGTTGCCTTAATGACTATCTCATTGTGGTTTATGGCTTGGACACCATATTTGATTATCAACATTGGATCAGTTACAGGTGCTGTCAAGATTTCTCCATTGACTTCAATTTGGGGCAGTTTATTCGCTAAGGCCAACGCTGTCTACAATCCAATTGTTTATGGTATCAGCCATCCTAAATATCGTGCAGCTTTACAAAAGAAATATCCATCATTGGCTTGCGCGAACGAACAACAAGAAGTTGCCGTCGAAGGACAATCTATGACTACAGATGTAGAAGAAAAAGCTTAAAATACCTGATACAGTGAACATTGAGGTTGGATTTGTTTCCAATTTCCTAGATTTTAATTTTATTTTATTAATTAATGAGCATTCAAAAAATGTAAAAAAAAGGATAATAATGAATAAAAGAATTATAACATTTGAATTAATTCATTCTGTATAAACTTCTTGTCTAGCAACTACTTGATGTGACATTATACTGAGCTTGCTCTTAGCATTCAAACTTATCGATTCCTATTCAATATTTAAGGAAATTAGCAGAGGTCGAAGCGAGCATAGCGAAGCGAGTTTTTAGCGAGCTCGCTTCGCTAAAAATTCAACTTGCTAAAGTTGACCTGTAGCGAGAATTTTTTTTTCTTTTCGCCTTAGCGAACTATAGCGAACTCAATTTTATTTTTTTCACTTAAGCGAACTATTAGCGAACTTAATTTTTCAAAGTTCGCTATAGCGAACTATTGGCGAACTAGAAAAATTTTTTTGGCTTCATATTAAGAGATGTCTGATTGCGTTTGTGAAGTATGTAATTTCATACAAAATTGCAAAAAATTATAGTTCGCCAATAGTTCGCTATAGCGAACTTTGAAAAATTAAGTTCGCTAATAGTTCGCTAAAGCGAAAAAAATAAAATTGAGTTCGCTATGGTTCGCTAAGGCGAATAGAAAAAAATTTTTCTCGCTACAGTTCGACTTTGGCAAGTTGAATTTTTAGCGAAGCGAACTTGGCGAACCAAGTTCGCTTCGACCTCTGGAAATTAGGCAATGGGACAGTTGAATTTGATGGAGATACAATAATGAATGTAGGGTTTCCGATTTTCTTCTTTTGTGGCTTCAAAGATAGATGCATGTTATACTGATCAGTAATAACTTTATATTCCTCTTCTTTGTGGATTTTCTTAAGTTGTCCCTTAAATTAAATAGAATTATTATTAAGCAACAAAAAAATCAAGTCAAAATTACTGTATTATTCACAAACATGAAGATAACTCTTATGGTCATAAAATACAGCATCTCGACAACAGATAGAAGCGAGAGGCCCATAAAAAGTCCGAGCGTACCTAAAACACATTCAAACTTAGGAAAAGTTTTAACAAAATCCAAAAATAAGTACCTCCAGAAGAAACCAGCAAGTCTATCCACCCAAAAAGGACCTCTCTTTTATACTGCATTACAGGCTATGACGATAATCTAATTTTTATATACATCTCTTCAATTTCATCTCCATTGTCGTCTTTATAATCAATTGAAAGTTTTTCAGGCTCAAATATTTTATCAAAGCAGTTTAATTGACAATGATGGCAGCTTATGGATGAAATTGCTTCCGAATAATTAGCAAGACACATGAAATCATCAATTAGACATTTTCTGTTTTTATCATAATTTTCAGGAGCATAGAACGGTGGTATGCAGTTACAAAGCTTTAATACAATTCTCAAGCGACATTCCATCATGCAATATGAAAATGAATATGTCTCGTCATTATAATAATTTAATGTCACGGAATCGTCAAATTTATCAGGAAATATGCATTTTCGTTGACTTATTGATAATTGATCCACAGTTTTATCTGTATGTGTTTGCTTTAATGACAGCATTAAATCCACTGCAGATCCATTTTTCCGTGTAAAAAGCTTTGTGTCATCGTAAGTTAATACGCTGTCTGTTGGATATACAAAAAAGTCAGCTTCTTCTTTAATATATATCTTCAACATCCAAGAATCATCTTCTGAATTGATGTCTTTCAGTTCTTCGGTTCTTTCTCTACAAATATTAATAAAATTTTACTGTTTGGACACATGTCAGTAGGTTCATGACTTACTCAGAAAATCCTGTACCATAATATCGTGAATTAAAGGCATAACAGAAGCCTTGTTCGGTATAAATTGGCTTGAAAATTGAGCAGCACTTTTCTTTCTCATTTTTGAATGAACAGCTTTCAAAGATATCCTCACAATTTACATGAACTTTGAAGACCAATTCTCGCAGTGACTGTCGATTCCAAAAAGTTGTCTAAAGTAATAAGGACTTAATAATATGTATTAAAATCGTGGATCCAATACATACTGCATTTCTATTGATGTCAGCTAGATGTTTTTCGAATGCCTTAATGTTACTGTATGTCAATGTAACTAGCGCTTTTAATAAAGGAATGTTGGAGTCAAAATCATTCATATGGTTTCCAACAAATTCTTTAGCGACTTGATAGACTGAATTACTTCCATAAGATATTGCTGGACATACTGCAACAGTTGGGAAGTCGATATTTTTAAGTGAAAAGTCAGTGTCTAAGCCTGTAATCGTTGGATTTAATTGAAATTTATCCCACAGCCTAGATATAGTAATAGAAGCAGACGTAGCTGAAATAAGAAGTATGCAGAGCCAGATAAACTTTTCTATGGATGTTCGTTGATCCTCAGCAATATAACGTATCCCATGAATGCTAGAGTTCCTTAAAAGCTCTTTTACTTGATGCTTTATATTTGCTTTTAAAATTTTCATCTTGATAGCCTGACAATCTATAAGAGACTGACTAGAGCATAGATTAATAGGAAGTGCCTGCTAATTTCTTATTTATTATTTATGATCAAATAAATTCATGACATATAATGTCAATTTTGTTACGTGACATGATCTCAACGTGTAGCCTATTTGCATGTTAACACCACACTTGTAATTAAACTTTAATTAAGCTTTGCAAAATGTATTAATTAAGGGAATTGTCAAATAAAATATTTAACGAAATAATGTAAATAAACTGGAATGAAATGAATTTGATTTACTGAACAGTTTGACTAATTCAGTGTCAATTGTGCTTCTCGTTAAATTTGCTGTTTTCCTGCTGTTTTCTTAATCCAAGAGTATCTCAACAGTCATTTGAATCATAAATCAGCATTAAATTTGTAATAAAACTTAAGTTGTTTAATCAAATTATTAAGTTTTCTTTGAATTTAACGAATCCGAGAAAAAAATTTGAACTTGGAACTTAACCTTAAAAAAAATCAGTCAAAAAATTTAATAAAAATCAGTAAAAACTTATTTATAGTGTTTATTTCTCTTAAATAGTCATGGCATCAACTAGTTCTGCACACAATCAACGTAAGTCAATTGAAGTTTACTAAAGTATCGTTGTATTAATGACCATTTTCGTCTTTTTCAGACCAAATTTTTCAAGGCGATATATTTTCAGGTGTAATTAGTCATGTTATCGACCATGAAATCTTTTACGTCGTCAAAACTGAATCAACAGTTGTTTTGGCTAATATACAAGAGTTTATGAGTAATAATGAGCCTTCGAAAATGTTTTGGTATCCATCCATCAATGAAAAGTTCTTAATTTGTTTGGATAACGAGTATTTCCGAGCCAAGCGAGTTGCATTAACTGAAGCTGACAAGAAGGATATAGAATTCATGCAGGCATTTATAATTGATACAGGGGAAACGTTTTTGATTCCAACTAATGGAGTTCCTACAATGAATGATTTTTCGATGGTTCCTGAAGAATTTTTGAATGTTCCTCCTTTGGCTAAGAAATGTAAATGGATCGAAAACACTAAGGACGATAAATCCAAATTGGAGTTCCTAAACAATAACGTTCTTAAAAAAATCTTAACTTTCGAAGCAATTAAAGTTCGAGGAGAAACTGTATTGGCCAAAATTTATCCGTACGAAGAGGCACAAGCTAATGATGAGGTAGCACAAAACTTTGAAGAGAAACTGCAGATCGAAGGTCACAAAAATAAAGTTGAAATGCCCATGTTTACTCCCGAGGAAGTTAAGGAATTGTATGAGGAACCACTCGGAACATCTGATGCCTTAATTGCTGTTCAAGGATACTCTACAAACGAAGATGCTCAATTTTGCAAGTTTTATGATCCAAATACTGGAGGGTGCTTTAAGGGATCTATGTGTAAGCTTAAGCACTTGCCTCCATCGACTGACAATTATGAATGTCGTGATCGTGAAGAAATTTTTGTTGAAAGGAAGGACTTTGGCTTGATTGTGCCACAACAACATTATGACATCAAAATTATGTTCATTATTTCCACAAATAAATTTATCTTTCGCTTTATCGATCCTGACTATGAAACAAAACTTGAGGATATCCAGACAAAAATCAACCATCCAAGTGAAACTAGAAACTACAAGAAAATTGCTTTCATTCCTGAAGTTAGTCAACTTGTTTTAGTCAAAGACAATGATGAATTTAAGCGTGCTAAGGTTATCAATGATATAGACGATTCCTACATTATTTGGTGTCTTGATGAAGGTTGTCTAAAAAGTGCCAATATGAATGCATTGTATGATTGGAACTTACGCTTAAATGACCCTAAGTTCCTTACTGATGAAATGGAAATTTCCAACATTATCCCGTTTAACGATAATGATGTTAAGGCTAAGTTCCGTTTGTTGGATTTTCAAAGAATTAAAACTTTGAAGGCATTGATGATGTAAGCTCTAATTGTATTGCTGTCTAATTTATTTACTAAGCTATGTTTTTATTTTACTTCCAGCCAAACAGTACCGACCTTAAAATGCCGACTTTTTGATAAAGAAAGCAATGACATCGGTGAAATATTGATTAAGGAAGGGTTCGCTTCAAACAACAAATTCGAGTTGTACACAGACTTCAACTCTAATGAAATTTTGCCGATTTAACGATGATAACTGCTTAACACATTTGTTTTAGTATTTAATAATAACTGAAGAAAATAACAATGATCTTTTCAATCACATATACAATTGAATTACATCCAAACATAAAACTTTTTTGAATTAGAGACTATTAAATATTAAAAGAACCAGAATAAACACGAGCAAGTTAATGAACAAAAAAAATGATTAAAATTTATTTAAGAAATTCTTTTACACGATCGCATACTGTTCATACAGCAGCTCTCGAACTTTGAAATATTCCTCAGATAAACATCCCTCGATTGTAACTTTTCCAGTATCGATTCTCTTTACAGCTATTGTCCCATTACAGCACAGCAACATACCTCCAGAAATTTCAGACGTAATGTTATTTTTCACTAAAATTTCTTTAAATGCAGCCAATTTCATTTCATTAAGAAACACGAAATCGTGTGGAGGAATCTTATCATATGGAAGTGGATCTAAAGCAATAACTCTATTCTCATCGCCAGCCAGTTCTACATGATCTTCATAATCCATTGTCGTTGAATTGTCAATTAATTTATTACGAATAGTAATTTGACCATTAATCCATGCAATTTCTGCGTCCTTTCCTTTCTGGAACTCTAATTCACTTACAAGAGCTTCCGTTAGTCTTACTTGATAGATGGATGATTCAGTTGTGGCATCAATTATTTCTCCTCGGTGCGGTGCAAAGACTTTTGAGCCAATATTTTGTTCACAATGACTCGATAGTGCTTGACTGTTGCTTTCATTTCCTCTTACAACTATCACACGACGTGGACGCAATTGTGATAGAATTTTCATCAATGATTCTCCGTCGGAACGTCCTTCAAAGTCTATGAATTGGATTTGTGCTTTTATGTCAATAAGTTTTCTGCTGTTGATACACTTTGTTGGTTTCTCAATCGTCAGCACATCTGTGGAATTATAAATTAATTTTAAAGCTGAAAAAATTGATATTTTGTGATTTGATCTTACCATCGTCATTCTCTTTTTTGATGTCTTCGGTTTTAATCAAACTGTTTTCCTTATTATCGTCCATCATATCTCCAGCAAGATCAGCTATTCTATAGTCTTCAGGCAAAATAACTTCACCATATTCATCGAACTTTATGCGATCTTCTTGTGCTGGAAACATGGCATACTGTCTTTTACTTCTAGACTTAAAGAAGCCTGAATGTGTTCTGCCTGTAATCAAATTTAGAAAAAGGATTAAGAAATTAATCCTAAGATCAAATATAAATCCAAAGATATAAATTAAAATCACACGATTCAAGTTTTAATCTCCAGATTTAACAATTTTCTCAAGATTCAGAAATAAAAAAACTAACCTTCTGGACGAACAACAATGTCATGCTTTCCAGTAATAACTTTCATCTCTAAGTCATCCTCAGAATCACTGCTTGATTCCTCTTCAGCTTCACGTTTTAAGATATTCGGACGATGCTTATCGCCTTCATGTGTTCTCATAAATTCTTCAAGTTCTATTCCTTCCAATTCAACTCGTCTTTTCACATCCAGTTCAATTCTACGATTTCCACCGTTTTCAATCAAATCTCTAGCTAACGTCCCATGGGATGTTCGAGATGTAAGGATAATGCTGTTGTGCGAATTTTGAGCCCATTGGAAAAATAATTCTCGACTAAAACCACTCTCAAGATCTGGACATGAAGCTAATACAACTTTAGGTCCAGGTATTTTCGATAGCTCATTCATTGTATGGATAGTCCGTAAATGTTTAAATGCAAATGGATTATTTCTGGCTCCTTCAAAGCTCTTCATAAGTTTATCGCTCATCCATTCAATTTGTGACTTGGCAAATTCAATGACATTATAGCTGACATTACTGAGAAATGCGAGAGAATAAGCCATTAATCCAGAGTCTTTGTTCTTCCAAAGTTGATCCAACATGTGAGCTAATTCTAGGACACGTCCTGCTGTATCGACAGCAATCAAGACATTTCCATTATTTCTTAATGTCTGCAGGATGTTTGTCATCAATTTCTCATCGCGAGCTCGTCTTCTTGCTTGTTGATATTTAGCATTATACGAGTCACAGATCAATAATGATGGTCGTTGAAGTTTCTCTAATTCACATCCATTTAAATGTCGTTCCTTCTTGTGATTAAAGTCTGTAGCATAAACTATTTCTTCCTCACCGACTTTAACGATTTTCCATATTGTACCTCCTATCATTCGTCCACCAGGAAGCGGCGTAATTGTTATTCTAAAGGAAGCATAAGTTTAAATACATATCTACAACATACAGCATAGAGTACTCACCCGTAGCCTTTTCCTTTTAATGAAACACTTTGGTTGTACTTTAATTGTGTGATTCTGTCAAAAGCAGCATCAACATCATCCAGTGAAAATAAATCAAAGTCATACTGATTGTAATGGCTCATAAAGGCATCGTACATAAACATTTGTCCCATTTTGTATGTTGGAATCGTCGCAAATATTTGACATCCAAGATTAAGTTTTCCAACTAAATAAGGCAGTGCTCCTAAATGATTAAGATCTGAATACGACAGTAAAACAGCATCTACGGTGTGGACATATCTGAAAGTAATATAAATTTATTAGAAGCAGCATATGTTATAAATTAAAGATTAATCTTACTTTTTGATTTCTTTTAAAAAATTTACAGAATTGTTGTTAATTTCCATGCCGGCATCTAGCAATAAACGCAATTCGTCCACTTGTAAGATATAACATTGTGGTGATTCACTATCTGCACCTCCTGAAATAACATGCAGCTTAATTATAGATGTCATTTTACTAAAAAATCACTAATTCTTCAATAATTTTGAAATTGTTTATTTTCAATATAAAACTAGGGGAGTAACAACAATGCTAGGGGAGAATCAACTATAAACCCCTGAGTTTTTTGAATTTTAGAAAAACGTTGATTTTATAGTTTATCTTGGATTACAAAAAAATTTGACTTCAAAGATAGAAAACCGATGGACATTAAATGCTCAATTATCTTTAAAATTACAATCTTTTTAAAACTGGTAAGAATTCGCTTGATTTCTAATTTGTGCTTCCATCATTTTTTAAGAAACATTGATTTTATATCACACAAGTTGGAATAAATTCAACCTTGAACCGTTTTTTTTGCCTGTAAATTAATCAAGGGTGTGGAACTGAAGAATTACATTTTGATCATTTTTGATCAATGTTGATCATTTTTGATCAATTTTGATCAATTTTGATCATTTTTGTACATTTTTGACCATTTTTTGATCATTTTGATCATTTTTGATCATTTTTGTTCATTTCATCAGTACCACACCCTTGAAATTAATACCTTTGGTTTGCCAAACAAGTTATACCACATTTGGTACCATTATAAATTATTTTTGAACAACAATAGCTTTAAACGTGGATAGATTTTTGACTAATTTGGTAACCTTTTTAATTAGAGATGTTCGCTTGTCCAGAAAGGATAATATTGATATATCTGCCCACCTTTCGTAGTCACATTCATATCAAATGGTAAAAATAAACGTTTCTTACCAAAACAAAGCAAAAAAAAAGTATAGATAATATTGACTGACTGTGTTTACCATTTTAACGCTTCATTTTTTATCATCAAATCAGATCAAGACTGTTAATGCATATAAAAATGAGAATCATTTGTTTCAACTTCATTAAGGATTGAAACTCGATAGTATCGAGCTTAATAGTGTAAAATGAACGCTTCCTTAGGTTTTATCGATAACCTTTCGATTCACGGAATTCGCCACGTTTTTAATGGAAATAAATTCAAAAGAGTTTTTTGGAGTTTTGCAATATTTGGATCTGCTGCATTTTTGAGCTTTAACATTTTTCAACTTCATTCTAAATTAGAAAAAACACCAGACATTAATGTGAGAGTTGGACAAAAGTTTATCAGTAATATTCCATTCCCATCAATTACAATATGTACTCCGTTGTTTGCCACGAACCGTCTAGTTCCGTACTTTAATATATCCAGGTTTATGAGGCAAAACCATAAAACTAAATTAAACTTAACAGTTCAGGAACAAAATTATTTAGCATCAAATATTCATGCTTGTGTACCAGAAATCGCAAGTGTTTTACAGCCTCATGTTCAGGATCGAACAAGAAACGATATCGTAAATTTGCTTGATGAAAGTTTCTTGTCAACTCGCGACACGATTTTGTTCTGTGGATATAAGAATATGCCACAAGATTGTACAAGAACGTTCTATCGAGTCCTTACCGACAGAGGATTTTGTTTCTCAACTAATTTACAAGGATTTAGCACAATTTTTAACGAGAAAGTAATCAGCCGAGATTTCAATAGCTACAAAAAATCAACGAATTACACTTCCGACGATGAAATTGAAAATGAAACAACTCAATGGACACTGGATAAAGGATACATAAGCAATCAGAAAACAGATTTACTTCCAATGAAAATAACTAGGGGACCGAGTTATGGATTCAATTCTTTTTTGAACGATTCTGATCCAACAAATATTTGTACTGTTTTTGGAAATAGCTTCAGCTATTACATCCATCTACCAAACGAAATTATGCTGCCCTTTCATCAGGAACACGTTGTAGAGTTTAGAAAAAGAAAGGATGTCTATTTAACTGCAATTTCCTACACAGCTGATGCAGGAATGAGGAAGTTTTCTCCAAGATCCCGTGGATGTTACTTTGAAGGTGAGAAGCAATTAAAGTTCTTCAAAACTTACACAAAAGCGCTTTGTGAATTTGAATGCATGACAAATTATACATTGAGGAAATGCGGCTGTGTCAAATTTTCAATGCCACGTACATCCGAAACTAAAGTTTGTACGGTCGAGAATTCTGATTGCTACTTTGAAGCTATGAGTATTTGGCCAGACCATGAAACATTGCCAGATCGCTTTGAAGTGACATGTGGATGTTTGAAAACCTGCAATAATATCAAATATGAAGTTAAGTTTGAAAAACTTTCTACAAGTGAGAATGTCATGACAGTCTTTGAATTATTGAAGCTACCAAAAGAGTAAGTAACTTTTATTAGATTTCCTTTCTGTAATTAAATGATTTACATTTTCACATAATTCTAGTGCTCCTATTTCTCGAGTCAATTTTATATTTGATGACTTCGAAATTATGGAATATGAGGAATATGCATCCTATCAATTACATAACTGTAAATTAAATAAGATTATTTATTTTTAACTTTTGAATTAAATTTTCTCATCTATCAAGTTGTTGCTGATGTGGGTGGTGTTCTTGGATTTTTCCTCGGATGTTCAATACTTTCACTGATTGAACTTATATACTTTTTGTTTGAGACATGTGCAGCTAGTTTGAGAAATCGACTGAAGACACGTAGCAGTAAAACTGTCGGAAATAACAAAATATTCATGTACATCCTGCTTATTGACAGATTCGTGAGCTTAAAAATGATTACCTATTTATTTTTTAATTCTAGAAAACCACATCCTGTTAATGTTGCGAATCTAGAGAACATCAAACTAGTTCAAGCAAAGTACATGAACGCTAAGAATAATCCGGTGCAAATGTATGACAAGGAAGCAATCAGAAACTATAAAAGATCTTATTATTGAAATGACATTAATTGTAGGTGACATTCAAACTCATTGGTGCTTAACAGAAGCATTTATGGAATGATTTTCTGAATTCTTCTTAAAACTAGAACAAGTTTAAAAAAGCTTTGTCCCTAAATCATCCACCTGACAATAAAATTACTGCTTAAATTGATCAATAAAATCAAAGTCATCGTTATTATAATAATTAATGAAAATTGTCATCAATTTGTTTCTACTGTATAGACGCATAGCAAGGGTTTATAAAAACTTTTTATCTGTAAAGACAAAACATATTATTTTAACGAATCAAATTAAATTGAATTCCTTTTTGCTTTCCTCCCCAACTTTTTAAAGTAAGTGCTCTAATATTTATTTAAACCTTAATTAGAAGGATTAGTTTATAATGCAGCTATATTTTTGGAGACATATTAGGCACAAGTTTATCCATTTACTATAATATTGATAGCACAGTGGTTTAAACACTTCCAATATTAAGAAAGTTTTGGTGTTCGAAATGCTTTTACTGGAAGTAAATTTAACAAAGCTTTCTGGATTCTTGCAATATTTTGATCTACAGAATTTTTATGTATTTACAACACATTTTGATCTGCTGCAATTGACAAAATGGAGAGTATAGTTCAAATAAATGTGTAATCTGGAGTGCCACTTTGTCAAGGTTTAACTTATTTATTTATTTATGTATTAGTCTTTCAACAAAAAAAAAACTCAAAAGAAATTTTAGCAATTGACAGTTTGAGATGACACCGCTTTAGCAGTTGAAAGTTGCAAGATAATCGATAACACTTCTATTTGATTTGAAATAACGTATTACAATAATTCAAATATTTAACGACTTTTAAGTATTCAAAAATTTAAAAGCAATTGGTTATTGTTTTAGTAGCAAATAACTTAATTAATACAGCAATTTGAAGTATATGATATCAAAATTAGTGTACATTTTAGATTTTTAAATCGATAAGAATCATATAATCAGTGTCTCTGATGGGAAAAATGAATAAAATTTCGATTTTTTGCTGAAAATTTTCCAAAAGTCATCCAAAGAATTGCCCAAATTGATTTAAAGAATAAATTTAAAATCAAAACTACCATCGAGTTTTAAGAAAATTCTTGGAAAATTCATTCTTAAAAAATTTTTAAAAGTGATTAGACGTTTTAAAAGACAATCTGGAAATATCGAGCAACATCGTAACATAAAAAAGAAGAAGAATCATGCTACCATACAAAGGTAAGTAATAAGCAATGTTTTTTGTAAGTAGAAAATTTAAGATTGGGGATTTGTGGATGTCCAAAAAAAAATTCACGGCTATTTGTTCAAAATAATTGTCAGTTCTGCTCAAAGTCATTTTTATTTGATTCTATTATTAACGACGGTTTTAATAGTGACGTTCGACAATCCCCTCCCCTTACTATTCCATTGCCTTACATCCTCGATGAAGACTTTCTATGGTAAGAGTCCATATTCGCTTATGCTGTGACTCGTCAAGCTTTATACTGCTTTATACCTCCAAACTAGACTGAGCGCAGCTCAGCTGGTTCGTCAAGGTTTATACTTTAAAATTAATATTGAGCTAAGCTTGGTCTTACCACAAGACTTTTGATGGTACCGTGTGAATATATCCGCATTGGGTTTCTACCCGATACACAAGTTTTCGTTTTGTGATATATAAATAAGAACTGTAATCTAACATAAGTCAAACGCGGAAGCTAGTGACTTTCTACGTAAGTCGTGTTTCTAGGTATTATAATTTATAAATGATAATGAATGCTAATATTAATATAAAATCGATATTTTTTTGAAAATAGCCTACTATGATCAAAACCAAAAATGCTTTAAATTACATTATAAAACATATCTAGGTATTATAAATGATAAAGAATGCTATAATAGATATAAAATCGATATTTTTTTTTGAAAATAGCCTACTATGATCAAAACCAAAAATTCTTTAAATTGCATTATAAAACATATCTAGGTATTATAAATGATAAAGAATGCTAATATAGATATAAAATCGATATTTTTTTTTTTGAAAATAGCCTACTATGATCGAAACCAAAAATGCTTGAAATTGCATTTTAAAGCATATCTAGGTATTATAAATGATAAAGAATGCTATAATAGACATAAAATCGATATTTTTTTTTGAAAATAGCCTACTATGATCAAAACCAAAAATGCTTTAAATTGCATTATAAAACATATCTAGGTATTATAAATGATAAAGAATGCTATAATAGATATAAAATCGATATTTTTTTTGAAAATAGCCTACTATGATCAAAACCAAAAATGCTTGAAATTGCATTTTAAAGCATATCTAGGTATTATAAATGATAAACAATGCTATAATAGATGTAAAATCGATATTTTTTTGAAAATAGCCTACTATGATCAAAACCAAAAATGCTTTAAATTGCATTTTAAAGCATATCTAGGTATTATAAATGATAAAGAATACTATAATAGATATAAAATCGATATTTTTTTTGAAAATAGCCTACTATGATCGAAACCAAAAATGCTTGAAATTGCATTTTAAAGCATATCTAGGTATTATAAATGATAAAGAATGCTATAATAGATATAAAATCGATATTTTTTTTGAAAAAAGCCTACTATGATCAAAACCAAAAATGCTTTAAATTGCATTTTCAAGCATATCTAGGTATTATAAATGATAAAGAATGCTAATATAGATATAAAATCGATATTTTTTTTTGAAAATAGCCTACTATGATCAAAACCAAAAATGCTTGAAATTGCATTTTAAAGCATATCTAGGTATTATAAATGATAAAGAATGCTAAATAGATATAAAATCGATATTTTTTTTGAAAATAGCCTACTATGATCAAAACCAAAAATGCTTTAAATTGCATTATAAAACATATCTAGGTATTATAAATGATAAAGAATGCTATAATAGATATAAAATCGATATTTTTTTTGAAAATAGCCTACTATGATCAAAACCAAAAATGCTTTAAATTGCATTATAAAACATATCTAGGTATTATAAATGACAAAAAATGCTAATATAGATATAAAATCGATATTTTTTTTGAAAATAGCCTACTATGATCGAAACCAAAAATGCTTGAAATTGCATTATAAAACATATCTAGGTATTATAAATGATAAAGAATGCTAATATAGATATAAAATCGATATTTTTTTTGAAAATAGCCTGCTATGATCAAAACCAAAAATGCTTTAAATTGCATTATAAAACATATCTTGGTATTATAAATGATAAAGAATGCTATAATAGATATAAAATCGATATTTTTTTTGAAAATAGCCTACTATGATCAAAACCAAAAATGCTTTAAATTGCATTATAAAACATATCTAGGTATTATAAATGATAAAGAATACTATAAAAGATATAAAATCGATATTTTTTTTGAAAATAGCCTACTATGATCAAAACCAAAAATGCTTGAAATTGCATTTTAAAGCATATCTAGGTATTATAAATGATAAAGAATGCTAAATAGACATAAAATCGATATTTTTTTTGAAAATAGCCTACTATGATCGAAACCAAAAATGCTTGAAATTGCATTTTAAAGCATATCTAGGTATTATAAATGATAAAGAATGCTATAGTAGATATAAAATCGATATTTTTTTTGAAAATAGCCTACTATGATCAAAACCAAAAATGCTTTAAATTGCATTATAAAACATATCTAGGTATTATAAATGATAAAGAATGCTATAATAGATATAAAATCGATATTTTTTTTTTGAAAATAGCCTACTATGATCAAAACCAAAAATGCTTTAAATTGCATTATAAAACATATCTAGGTATTATAAATGACAAAGAATGCTAATATAGATATAAAATCGATACTTTTTTTGAAAATAGCCTACTATGATCAAAACCAAAAATGCTTTAAATAGCATTATAAAACATATCTAGGTATTATAAATGATAAAGAATGCTAATATAGATATAAAATCGATATTTTTTTTGAAAATAGCCTACTATGATCAAAACCAAAAATGCTTTAAATTGCATTATAAAACATATCTAGGTATTATAAATGATAAACAATGCTATAATAGATATAAAATCGATATTTTTTTTGAAAATAGCCTACTATGATCAAAACCAAAAATGCTTTAAATTGCATTATAAAACATATCTAGGTATTATAAATGATAAAGAATGCTATAATAGATATAAAATCGATATTTTTGTTTGAAAATAGCCTACTATGATCGAAACCAAAAATGCTTTAAATTGCATTATAAAACATATCTAGGTATTATAAATGATAAACAATGCTATAATAGATATAAAATCGATATTTTTTTTGAAAATAGCCTACTATGATCAAAACCAAAAATGCTTTAAATTGCATTATAAAACATATCTAAGTATTATAAATGATAAAGAATGCTAATATAGATATAA